TTTTTTCAATTTCATTTCCGGCAGGTAAAAAACGTAAAAAACCATTGTCGGCGACTTGAAAAAAAGGCTGTCAGGTGCCGTGGCCTAGGTTTCTCACTGAAAATCCTCGTCCCCCGGCGGCACTTTTTTTTTGAATTTTTTCTTTTTCAACGCCGTTTTACGGGGATTTCGGATTTTCTTTGAATTTTTTCGCAATAATATTTGAAGAACAGATAACTTTTAACACATTTTAATGCTTTTCAGATGGCAATTGGAGTCGAGCGATTTCTCGCAATCTGCTCTCCGATGCGAATGCAACGCTTCTCAACAAAAACTACGGTACCCCATAATCCGTCTAACACTACAAATCAATTTTTAGTTCCAGATCTCGGTGCTCGGCGGTGTTTGGTGCGTTGCCGCGTGTTTCGCTTCTCCCTACTTTTTGTACCAAGGCATCGTTTTCCACAAATTTTATTTCTGCTTCTGGAAAGGAATCTCCCATAAAACAAGGTGCTTTGTTTTGTTTCTAGCAAGCTTTTCATCGGATTTTTTTCTTGCAGAACCTACTTCAAGTACTGCGAGCTGATTGTCCTTTATGCGATTCCACTGGTTTTCCTTACCACACTCTACACCATCATGTGCCGCGTTCTCTGGGGGAAAGAAGGAGCCAATCACAATATTGCCAACCATAGTCAACAGGTAAGTAGAGAGGATTAATTAGAGATTTCAACCCCAATTTCTTTTTAGGAGGCAATTCTTAAACTCCGCCGATCAGTGGTCAAAATGCTTATCATCTCAATGCTTCTCTATTTCCTCTGCTACACTCCAATTCAAGGTTTCTTAATTTTCAAAACTATCAACCTCAAAGTTTTCAATTCCAGTGATTTTCGTGATGGAGAAAGTGCTGGATCACAGTGTACAACTCCCACAATGGCTTCGTCTTCTCCTCAACGTACTTTCGGTTATGAGGTAAGCCCTTGTCTCACGTTCCCACACCAGTTGTCTTACACATTCCTTGACACTCCTCCACACACGCTATTTAACATTACTGTTGTCCGGAGATTTTTGCCCCGGGGTCAAAAAGCGGCGCCGAAAACAGAGTAGGAAACACGCATTTAGCTTCAGCTCCATTTTTCTCTTTTCAAAAAAAGAAACATAATCAAATGCAACTCAAAGAATGAAGTGACCAGAGCGACAAGACCAATTTTCACCACCTCTTTTCAGTTCCTCAACCAATCCCATCGTCTACATCATTTGTTGCCGTCACTTCCGCCTACGCCTTCACGATGCTGCTGCTGCACTATCCGCGTGCTGCTGCTGGCTGTTCCCGTCGTTCGCCAAGTCTGAATACGAATGTGTTGATGAAACAATGACCACGAAGTTGTCCCGCTCGCCGTACGTCTCGTTTCGCAGTTCGCGCCGTCAGAACTCCCGTGCCAACCTTTCAACGCTTCTTTGAATTATAAATTCTACTGGATTGCTCTCTTTCTCAGTCTGATTATTTGTGTATTTCGAATTTCCTACCCTCACCGGGTTTCACACATTTTCTATCAAAAAGTTTGCCAAGCTCTGTTCATGGTTCACTAAACATTTATTTTCTCTCCTTCATTTCCTGACTCATCCTTTTCAGATCATTATGCACCGCTTTAGGCCCCGATTTGATCTCTGAACGCTTTGCTTTTGCGGAAAAAATATTATAATTGAACTTTTGCTATAAATTATTCAATAAAGGCTGAAAGTTTGAGCTGCAAAGTAGGTCAGCAATAAAGAAACAACTCGTTTGGACAGAAGATGGGGCAGAAAAATTGTTGTGCATTATCATGGACCCAAGTACGTTTACGTAACCCTGTATATCAAAGACAGAATTTTTATTAGTTTGTCATATATTTTTCATGAGCTCAAGTGTCATGGACAAAAGCAAAAAACAAACATTGTTTAAAGGTAAGGGGACATGAGAAAAATAATTTTTTGCAAAATTACGGTTATATACGTTCCTCAAGGAGTTGAACTCATGGGGGGGGGGCGAGTACTAAATGCGCGGCGCCGCTACCGATTGCGCCGCTACCGGAAAAAACTAGAGCGGGCAATGAACATAGATGCGGGTCGTCCGATGTATGCAGAGTGACGGAAAGCGTTGTACACGGTTATGGTAGAATGCATACCCTAACTGTTGACGAGTCCACGTGGTTATCCGCCGACTCGCCAACTTTAAGATATTCTGAGGACCTCTAGGCCCAGCCCACTGTGCTTATTCCTCAGAAATCTTCCTATTTCCCACTTCATTCTCATTATTTATCTTTGTTTATCAGTCTTTCTATTGTTTTCTCATATTCAAATTCCCCCGCCTTTTTCTCCTTTCTTCGTGCAAGCGCGCCCTATCGTACGGGTCTCGCCACGAAGGGATTAAAGGCGCACACACTCACAAAACAGTTTCTGGCCTACATTACTCAGTCTAATTCAGTCTAGTAAGTCTGTCAACCTCGTTACTCATCATTATTCCTACTATTCCAATACTGTAAGAACTCCGGCGATCCCCGATCGCCTTACCGGCCTTATTGGACTATCGAAAACCGCTAATGATGTGAGTTGATATAGATTTCCTTCTGAATAGACTAATGGCCACTTCTGTGACCTGTTTTATGAGTGTTTTCCTAACAGTGTCATCGTGACCACTGGGAAGCGTGTGCAGCTTGGGAACTTTGTCTATGAAAAGCGATAAGCTTGTCACCGGTAGGAAAAGGGTTTTTTTTGCCCAAGGCTTTTTGCCCCTTCAACTATTGAGTGAACAGTGATTTCCTTCTCGTCCGTCTCCAAGCCAGCCCGACTCCAAGGATTCCTCCATTTGCCGATATATTCACCTTTCTTAAATATATCCAGCTAATAAATGGGTCACTGATACTACTGTTTCTTTTATTGTTTCCACACCGCTTATCTGCCCGCTCGTTGTTCCACTCCTCGCTACAGACAGACTTTAATCCCCTTTACCCATGCACTTAGCCAGACATTGCGCACATAGAGGTAGCTTGTTTCTCTAGAGCCGTCACGGGGAATCCAACACTCCCCAAGGTGACCCCTCTACACTAACTCCTTTTACTTTTTACTTGCGAAAGGCACAAAAGTTAAAATCATTTTTTTAAATGGGCCATGGTGTTTAATGTTTCGTCACCTCATAAAAATCAAGCTGATACCTAACTTGTAGGATCTGTTTATTAGTCGAATAACGGTACGTCCAATATAGAAAGTTGCGAGAAAAATTTGTAACAAAAAACACTTAGACCTGTATTTGACAATAACATTGATAGGATAAAAAATTTATAATCGAAACGGTCCATTAAGGTATTTCCAAATACAGGCAAAGTTAGTAAACTGTCCAGTTTGTCCCTGAACGCTCCAGAGCTGAGCTTCCGGATCGCATGTAAAAGTTGTTGTCACTTGTGGGAAACCAGAAATGACCTGTTAAAAAAAAGAATGTGTTTGAATATTGGATTATTAGAAACTCACAAGATTATTTACGATTGAACTTGGATTAGAATAATTAACAGTGTTATAGTTTGCTATTATGCTGACCATTTGGATTCTGCCTTTAGTACCAGAATCCTGACAGGTAAGTGAGACCGATTGATTACATCCGTTCCAATTTACAGATGGAGGCATTGCAGAATTGGTAGTGGAGGCTCGGATTGGGTATCCACAGCAGTTGGGTTGTAGTGTTGTTGTGAGAAGTGTAGTTGTTGTGGGAACTGTAGTTGTTGTGGGAACTGAAGTTGTTGTGGGAACAGTGGTGGTGTTTCCAGTTGTAGTCGTAGTAGTCGTAGTAATTGGTGAACTTATGGTAGTTGTGGTAGTTGAATTCGAAGGAACAGTCGTAGTTAAAGCCGTTGTTGTCGTTGTGATAGGAGTTGCAGTTGCTGTTGAAGTGGTAGTGAGAACGGGATCGTTCGCAGGTATAGAAGGAGCACAACCATTAGCAACAGCAACGAATACAAAAATAAATTGCCTTCGTATCATACTGGAGCAATGTTCAGCCGCACAAAGACGTTTTGATATTTTAAAATGTGTATTTATAGCGGAGCTATATCCGTTTTACGTGTTTCTAATTAGTTGAGAATCCCACTTTCACTTTTCAAACTTATTATAAACATTTGACATTTCTTTTGGTAAATTGTGAACGAAAGTGACAAAAGTGATTTACTTTTTTGAAAAACAGACGGATGTGTCGTTGGTATATAATGCTTCGGTTCAAGAACGTGTAGTAGTATTGTCATGTTTGCTTTTGTTTTCTTGTCCTTTCTAATTTCAACCGTCTACTCATGTGCACCCACTGTTCCTGTATCAACTACAACAATTTCTCCAAACATCACTTCTACCTTTTCTCCTTCCACAACTACAATTTCAAGCTCAACTTCAAACATAAGCACGACTACATCTTCATTGGACTCAACAACGACCACAATAAGAAGTCTGTAAATTAAAGTAAACAAAAATGAACTGGTTTTTCAGATTGCTGTGAATGGCCATTTCCAAATCAAGGAGTCAACACAGTCGACCCGATTATAGATTTGTGGAATCAGTGCGATGGACCAGTAACATTTTCATGCACTATTAATAATGAGACTATGTTTCTCCTTCCAACTCACGGAATTGCTGTTAACATTGATATTAATGGTTTATATACTGAACTAGATTTGGATACACAAGTGGTATGTTAACGTTACATTGATATTATTTTTTCGAAACGAACAGTTTTCCCAGATTTCGAATACATTCTAATAATTGAACTGAAATTAGTGGATATTCGTAACAGGGCTCATAGATATTTGCCTGTGTTCACTAATATTCAAGGCTTCAATTTCCTAACACGTTTGGTTCTCTTATGGTTTTCTGTAATTTTCAGGCTTTTCCAGAAATGGCCACCACCATATACGGAAATATCACTTGCAATACAACTTCCCATTTATGGCAGCTCAATAGCAATTTTCAGTATAACACGTTTGCTTGTGCGTATCAATGGACGAACGGAACTTGGTTCTGGGGGACCTCTTCAACATCCGTCTAATTTTTGCTTTACTAATTTAATAAAAACAATTTTATTACAACTTTCTAACAATCAACCAACAATTTTAGCTGATTTAGCGAGACCATAGAATTTTGAGTTTTTGTTTTTGAGTAATTCTCCAGGAATACCATCCTCCACAATTCGTCCAGCTTCCATCACAATAATTCGATCATAGTCCATAATAGTGTGCAGTCTATGAGCAATTGTGATGATCGTGGAATCCGCAAACTTTTCACGTATCGTCGCTTGAACCATCGCATCGGTTCTGTTGTCGATTCCAGCAGTGGCTTCATCCAGAACCAACACTTTGGATTTTCGAAGTAATGCGCGTGTGAGACACAAGAGTTGCCGTTGACCAACACTAAATTCGAAATTTGGATTTGTTTGTAATTTTCGTGCTTACCTAAAGTTTTCTCCTCCTTCCGCAACTGGACTTTCCAACTTCTGTGGCAACGTCTCTACATGAGCCTTCAAATTTGAATTCTCAAGCGCTGCCCAAAGTTGTTGGTCATTAAACTGACTCTTTGGATCAATATTAAACCTGAATTCTTAATATGTAAAAAATTCTAATATTTATAAGCAAACCTCAATGTATTAGCGAACAACACATTTTCTTGTGGGATGATAGTCAACTTCTCCCTCAAATCATGAAGTCCAATACGAGAAGTAATTGTTTGATCAATCGAAATATCCCCCTCTGCAGCTTCCACAATACGGAAAAGGGCGAGTGCTAGCGAAGATTTTCCTGGAGTATTAATTTTTATTTTATAAGTCATCGACTAATCGGGGGTTTATACCTGCTCCAGTTCTGCCACACACTCCGACCTTCTGTCCTGGAAGGATGTTAAGACTGATTTGCTTGAGCACCAGATCAAGTTCATCTCGATATCTGCATGAGTAGTCTTCAATATTCACAGCACCTCCGATAGGCCAGGATTGCGGGAGCACATATCCTTCCATACGCCACTCAGCCTGAAATAGAGCTGACTGTATTTTGAACAAATCAATTGAAATTGCTTACCTCACTCTTGGTCTTACTGTACTCATCAATTCTTTCCACTGACACCACATTAGTCTCTACGTCATTGATGGTTCTAACAAACATATTCAACATGAATGTAATCTGAAATATATTTTTTTTTATTCAAAAAATTTTTGCAACTTACATTCAAACTGTAGGACACTGATAGACCGAGCATACCAGCAGTCAATCCTGATTCTTTCCCAAAGATGGCTAACATGGAAGCAGCTAAAAGAAAATTGATATGATGAAAATAGAGCCTGGAAATTACCAAAAATAACAATGTTTCCAAGAAGTTCAAGACGGATTGCCAACCAGCGATTTGACATTTGGGAGTAGTAGTTGCATCTGACATGGGTGTTGAGCTGAAACAGAATAATATTTTAGATAGAAAATTTCAAAATCGGCTAGCTTACATGCATATCATTTCTTCTGATAAACTCATCATTCCACTGGAACGCTCTAACTGTTGAAATTCCTTGAAGGGTCTCCGAGAAATTCGAAAATATTGGAGAACGAGTTAACGAAGCGATTCTTTGAAGTTGACGGGTACTCTTAATGGAGTACTTGAGCACAAAATAGTAGATTATATAAACGGGAATAATAATCACGATGAATAGTGGTGTGGTGTAGGTGACAATGATGACAGTCTGGACTTTTGAGGTGACTGTAAAAGAGGTTGAGGATTCTTACCTGCATCATATTCATAAACGAAATTACAAGGAATCTGAAAGAGCTACTCAAACGGAGATCCACAACTTCCATGTCTTTGGCGAGACGGTTGATAATTCTTCCAATAGGAGTCACATCAAAATAGGATAGTGGGTTTCTCAGCACATTATGAAGCAATGGTCTATGGAGATTTCTGGAAGCGGCGACTCCTCCAAGCAGAAGGAGAGATAGGGAGAAGAACAGGAAGAACACTGAAATTTTAGTTTTTGCTTCCCACATTCTTATTTTCAAATGGTTTTTATTTGTTTTGACCATTTTCAGGAGTCTGGAGCTCGGCTGTCAAGTTTCCGATCACTTTGAAAACTTTTAGAGGATGTAAAACAGATCTAGATTGAAAACTTTGCATTTGCAGAATTTTTTGAAAATTCTTAGTTTTTTAGCTATTCTGACTTCTGAATTTCCCCAATTTGTTGTACTGAAAACGTGAAAAAACAGGTTTCTTTTGGAAATCGGAAAAGAGCTGAAAGCTAAGAATTTTCAAAAAAAATTGTGAATGCAAGTTTTGAAACCTGAGTCTGTTTTACATTTTCTAATATTTTCGAAGTGATAGGAACCCCCTGATAGCTGAATGTGAGTTCCAGACCTTTTCAAATGGTTGAAATCAACGTTTTTGTATTTCTTGGTCCTGTATAAAAAAAAATCTACCTTCTGTGACACCGAATGCAGCATACACCCCAAGTCTTGTTCCCACTGATAAAGTATCCGGATGTGTCATATCAATGTTAGCATCGGACCACGCAGTAAGCCATAAACTTCTAGCCATTGCAAATGCCATATTCAAAATCACCGCAACAAAATATGGCAGTACATATTTCACAATTCCCATAGATTTAAAGTAGAGCATGTAAATTCCAGCTTTAACCCTTCCAACTGCCGCTTCCTCTTTTGTGATTAATGCATCTGGTTTCTTTTTCTGAAAAAAAATGAACGATTCTCGGGAATTTTTCCTGAGGGATTCTAAGGAATTCTAGGGAATCGGGGGATGTTCCTAGAGAACCCGACTTACCTCCACAATACTAGACCTCGATTTCTTTCTTGAAACTTTCGACAATTTCGATAATCTTGACATTCGACTACTGGAACCGATTGCTCCTGGTAGTACATCATCAGCTTCATCACCACTCTCTTCTTCACTTGATTCTTGAGCCTGCTCATATTCTGCATCTACTTCTTGTAGGTATTCTCTGGCTTCATCGTCAGCCAACAATTCATCGTATGTACCGCAATGCCGGATTCTTCCATCTGGTCAGTTAAAATATTATCGAGAAAAACAAACAGAATCTCACCCTTCATCACAATAATTTTCCCAGACTCCTGAAGGAAGGATGTGCAATTTGTAACCAAAATTCTTGTGGTATGAGACAGCATCCCATTTGGGCCAATTATATTATCAAAGATATGTTTTCCAACATGTGCATCTACTGCAGATAACGGATCATCCAAGAAATATACATCTTTGCTCTGGTAGACAGCTCGAGCAAGAGCAATACGCGCTTTTTGACCTCCTGAAAGGTTGATACCCTTTTCTCCGATTTCAGTTTCATCTCCGTCTGGCAGTTGCTTCAAGTCGTCTTTCAACGCACAAGCTTCCACGACTTTTTTGTAGAGAACCTGCAATTTTGAAATTCAGAGAAATAATTTTTTTCAAAAATAATTTCTAACATCATTCAAATCCGCTTGCATCAATATATTCTTCTTTAAAGACTGATTCAGAATCCATGGCTGTTGTGAAAGATAAGCTACAGAACCCCGGACACCAACGTATCCACAAATCTTCTCCATCTCTCCCAACGCTGCCAAAAGAAGACTTGACTTTCCACTTCCAACGGATCCAACTACAGTAACCAGTTCCTTAGAGCCCACCAGAAACTCAATGTCACTCAAGATACGAGCCTCAGCTAAATCCCAGGAGAAGGATCCAGAGTGAACTTCAACAGTGTTTTGGTAGACTGAAAAGTTTGAAAAATGTTTTTAGGGGGTCCCTAAAAAAGCTCACGTTCTCCCCGAATCTCCTTGTCTATAGCGTTAACATCAACTTCACGTTCACACAAGAAAGTTCGAATTCTCTTGTTGGACACAACAAGTTGAACAGTCTGGGCCACTAGATCTGCAGCCATCATAAGTGGTCCACGGAGCAAGTTGAACAGGGATAAAGAAACGAAAGCGATGTTAGGAGTTAACACATTTTTCTCATCAATGAAGACGAATACTGTGAATGTTGCAAGGGCCACCTGAAGTTATATTTTTTAAGAAATGCTCCAAAATTGTTTTTAAAAACTCACAAACACTGGAGCTCCAACATTCAAGCAATCCGCAAAAGTTTTCAGCAAAGAACTTTGCTTAATCATCTTCAACTCCTTGTCTCTGATTTTCTCAATTGTCTCCTCCATAGCTGTCTCCCACGCCGACAGCTTCACAACCTTGATTCCATTGAGTACCTCGTTAATCAATCTGATTCTTTCATCCTTATATTTCATCAATCTGATTTGCCATTTTTTAGTGATAACTGATACACAAATGTTGATAGGTACAATACTGATCTTAATCATTCAAATAATTAAAGAACATAATTCCTCGAGAACTCACCATGACCACTATCCCAGCCCAAACGGCCACCCCAATGGTTTGCCAAAGTAGAACCATACAAACAATAATTTGAAAAGGACTACTCCAGTACTGTTGAAGTTGTGGTGTAATCATTCGGAAGCGATCCACATCGATGGAAAGAATATTGACCATTTCTCCAACGGTTCTCTCTCGTCTAGCGGAATTCGACAACAATAGAGATTTCTCATAAACTGCACAACTGAGCATAGTTTGAATTTTGGCGCCAATTCGAGTCATGACAATGAAATAAGTGTTCATGAACAGAGATTTCGCTTGTCCAGCCAGAAACATTCCAATTGCGAGGGCAACTCCGTAGTACAAAGGGGCGTCGGGCGTTTCAATGAAAGTAATGAGAAAGCTGAAATTAGACAAATTGAGTTTCAATAAAAAATTTTTAAATCTCACTTCAAGAATGTTGGATTCGCAAATTGCAACAAGTCGGACAAAAACTTGATGAACGATCCTCCAACAAGCTCCCACTTCATGATATTCCATAGAGTGAAAATCACAGATGGTTGGACAATCACACGATCTAAATTTTCTATATTTATTCAAAATCTAATGCCTTTAAAAACTATTACCAGCATCATTTTGATTGACAGCTCCGTAATTATTAAAAGTCCCTAAAAGTGGGGCCTTCTCGTTTCCAGTCCCCGATCTTTGTCGTTTCTCATCTAGCTTCACTTGTTGCTCGTGAGCTTCTAAAAAAGAAAAATTCTAGATAATTTTTTTTCAAATTAGGTCTCACTCTCTGACTGTTTGAGCCATTCTGTCTTCCATCTAGCCTTGAGATATTCTTGATCCATTTGACTATCCAATTCGAACACATCTTCAGTTTCCAAAGTTTTCTTGCTACCCAATGAAATGATCTGTGAGAACCACATCAAGAGTTGTCGGCTGATGAAATTCGCATTCTCTTCTGGACACTTTGAATTCTGAACGAAAAATCTCATTTGCTCTCTGGTCAGCAATCTACCTGATAAGTCTTGGGCATCGGGAAGGGATCAGAGACAAAGTGTAGTACAAATTCGGCGACCACTAAGGGAAAGTACGTCAAGTACGCGACATAACGAAAGAAGTCGATTCGGGCAACAAGCTGAAAAGATAGTTTATTAGAAATTGGATATCTAAACAATTCATTCGTCGAATTCACCTCTGGCTGGCTTCCTTTATTCATCCATTGGTAGAATTCAGGAGCAGCAAAAACTGCAAAAAGCATCCAGACGCAGAATAGACATCCAGATGAGTGGATTCCAGCTCGACGGGTTTCATTGGTAGCGATTAGAAGGGCGAGCTGAAAGCAGAATTGTTCAAGACCGATTCGCAAGGTTTTTTTTCCATTGAATAGATCAATTTTATAGTTGCGAATTAAAAAAAACCAATTAAATGTGACCTTTCTCCCAATTCAATTGAACGTACTAATGTAAAACTGTGAAAGAACGGAAAGATGAACAAATCGGCTGTCACGTTCTTGTGTTCAAATAACGACTCCCATACTGCAAGAAGGAAAACGAAGAGACGGTCAATGATCAGCAGGCTGGCCACAAACTGCAATACAAAGAGACAGGGTGTTTAAATGGTCGGGGCAAACTATACCCATTTTAGACTCATCAATGTGGACCATGGAAGAGGGCTCAAGCGGCTGGTTTTGATGTCGTGGATTATTACAGGTGTGAGAATCCAGAAAAATATTGAAGGAACAACAACATAACTATTTGGAAGAACCACACTGATCGGTGGACCCGTTGAGTTGAGAAGTTGGTCTATTTCCATCTGAAGAAAATATTTAATTATATTTCTAAAATTGGTTGAAGAAAAAGTACATAAATTCAAAAAAAAGTATACATAAAGCCGAGAACAATTGTTGTGATGCTAATGCTATCATCTTAAATTTATCAGTAGAAGAAATGAGAAGCGCAGAAGAGTTGTGCCCGTCAATGAATGAGTGTGTTGTCTTCGACGTGACACCAAAATAAAGAATGATAGACAAGTGATAAGACCTGAGGACCCATGGAGTCGTGCGAGTTTTGTGATTTGTGCAAGTGGACAGACAGAGCCTAAAAAACTACAATGTTGTTGATCTATTGCAACGGAAAGGGAGAGTTTAGATAGAGAGAGAGGGGGGAGCGATAAGGGGTGGAGAAGTCATGGATAATGACGTCTAGAAATAACTTTGGCGCAGATGTATGTCAGAAGAGCTTAAATCAGAAGGAGGAGCATTATTTGAAAACCAAAGTTGTAATTTTAAATGAAAAAAAACAATAAAATATCAATATTGCCAGGCAAACCTAAAAAGTGTCCTGAACCTCAACAAATGAATCTATATTTGTTTTTTTTTCCTTTGTTCGTTATTTTGCTACAGGATGAATTAAAAAATTTGATCTACCAGAATATTTTGGCAAGTCTAGATCATAATTTGACAGTCTAAAATTAAATATTCGAAGGTTTTCAAAAGTAATGATATTGTAAAAATCCTAGACATACCCTGACCTAAAAATATAGAAGTTATAAATATATGGCAGTAAGAAAAAAGGCAAAAAAAAAACACCGATATAACATCAACACCAACGCCCCGACCCCCATTGTCGTTGATCTCAAACAAAAACAGAACACAACTGGATCAAATTCAATAAAAGATATGAATGCGTACACACAACCTATGATAATAACACATTTTTGAACAGATCTACGTCTGCATGATCAAGAGAAACACTTTTAGGTCTTCCCCTTCCTTCCTACTTTTACGATGATTCTGCGTCTCGTTTTGAAAAATGAGTAGAAAAAAAAACTGTTTTCAAATTGTTTGCATTTCACTTTGTGCTGCTTATTTTGTTACTGTGTGTGCCGCCACCACCGTCAGAAATTTCTTGAACTGATGTTTTTTAGTCTCTTGGTCTTTTTTGGGAAGTTGCAACAAGTGTGAAAAGTTCTTTGATCTGATGTATGAGAGAAAAAGGATCAAACTATGAAAGCTTCAGAGAATCTCTTCTGGGTAGGTTGTTTTTAAAATAGTATACAAAAAATGAAAAGTAGAAATTGTGAATTTTGCGGTGTGGAGAAAAAGGCAACATTGACAAAGAATTGGTAAGAAGAGGTTTATTTGAATGCTGAAAAAATAGGATTGCATTTTTTCACTAAAAACTATTCAAGAAATAATTTTGGCTTCAATACCCGATATTTTTCAAATTAGCAGATTTGAAAAAGTTTACATTTTGGTAGAAATCCTGCGAAAATAGATTTTAATCACTTCCGAAATTTTTGTAATCGCATAATTTCCGTAATTCCTATGAACTCTGCAAAATTTCTCAAGTTTTTTGTGAGTTAATGCAAAGAATATTGTGAATTGCAGTAAATAATTTTTTGAATTTCTGTGAAGAATTTCGGGAATTTCTGTAAAAAAACAATGCGATTTTCTGTGAAAAGTTTTGTGAGTTTCTGTAAAGAATTTTGTGAATTTCAGCACAGAATTTCGCGGATTTCTGTAATTTTTATGAATTCTGTGATTCCTAATAATTTTTTGTAATTTTCTGTTATTCCTGTGGATTTTATGAATTTCAGTAAATTTTTCTGAATTTCTTTGAAGAATTTCGGAGATTTCTGTGAAAAAAATTGTGAATTTCTGTAACTTTTCGTATATTTCTGTAAAGAGAATAGTGAATTCTTGTAGACAATTTTGTGGATTTCTGTAATTCCTGTGAATTTTTGAAATTGTAACGAATTCTGCTAATTTTTCTAGAGAATTTTACGAATTTCTGTGAAGAATATAGTGAATTTCTGTAAATAATTATGTGAATTTCTGTGAACATTTTTGTGGATTCCTGTTGAGAATTTTGTGAATTTCTGTAAAGTTAAAGACCCGTGAACTTTGAAACGTTCCTGTTCTATTAGTTTGAACATCAGGATTTTCCACCCTTCCATCTCTCCCCTCCAAACTTTCAATTTTCCAAGATCCAGGTGTTATTTCCTTGTTATCTTATCAAATCTCATCTTCCTCCTATCACTTTTCACGTTTCTCTTCTTTTAACCTTTTCAGACATTTCTCCATCACCAGTGGTTCAAACGAAAAATCAAAATGAAGAGACGAAGGAAGCAAGCACACTCCCGTTCCAAGTGATAAATGAGATTCAATTGGCGGAGCTCTTGGAGGCGCCTGTTTGATCCGTGGATAATGATGCAAGGCTGTGAGTTGGTTGGAGTGAAAGGAAAAATGCACTTCCATTACACTATTTCCCTCCTGTGAAATCATCTCGGGCTCTTTTTATGACCCTTTATCTTTTTCTTTAATTTTAATTTTTTAATTATCTAACAATTAGCGGAGAGGGGAATCAAGGAATTTCCGATGCGAAAAGATTTTATTGAGCTTTACACAAAGCACAAAACGGATATTCTTTTTTCAAGAAACTTTCTTCAGATCAAATTTCCTTGAAAATTGATTTTTTGACTTCCCAACAAAACAACTAATACTATTTTTCAGAAAATGCGCCTATTCATACTCCTATTTCTAACTTTCCATGCCACTTATTGTGCACTGGACACCGCCGCCGTTATTGCCATACAAACTGAAATCAACAAACACAGTGCTGACATTGAAATGATTCTCGATGCAAGTTAGGGGTTTGTGTAAAACAACGAGTCTTGTTTTACAGCATGTGAAAAATCTCAACGCCCGAGTTAGTGACCTGGGACGTCCAGGACCGCCAGGAATGAATGGGTCGCCAGGTTTCCCAGGAGCCAAGGGAGAGAAAGGAGAACGTGCCGAAGATGGTGAGTTGCTCTATTTGGCAAATAGAAAGTCACGTACTAGGGTCTTATCTTTTTATCTGTTTCCATGTGCTTTTGATTTTTCAAAAAAAAAGAAACTGATGTAGAAAAAGTGATGTTTTGAGGCACACATTACATGCACTATTGTTATCAGTATATGTTTCGAAAACTTCTGAATTTTCCATAATCCTTCCAGGTATGAGCGGAAGAGACGGTATGCAGGGTATTCCTGGCGTGAAGGGAGACATGGGACCAATCGGACCAACTGGCATGAAGGGTGATAAGGGCTCAATGGTATGTAGGCTACACTAGTCCACTAAACATGATGACAATTCTAGGGATTCCCTGGTCAGAAAGGAGATGGTGGAAATTCAGGAGTGCCAGGACTCAAGGGAGATACTGGAATCCCTGGAAAAGTTGGAGAACCTGGAGCCACTGGTCAGCCAGGAGGCAAAGGAGAGAAGGGAATGGAAGGGTTGCCAGGGACCAATGGTTTGCCTGGTGCTCCGGGGTGGCCGGGGAGCAAAGGAGAGGATGGATTGCCAGGGAGACCAGGGTCTCCAGGATTCCCAGGAAAGAAAGGAGATGTTGGAACTGGAGGAGTGCCAGGAGTACCCGGAATGATTGGAGAGCGAGGATTGCCAGGAGCACCAGGAGCGCAGGTATGGACACTTGAAATTTGGGAAAAATGAAGGTTATAAAATAGATTATGGATATTTTTTATATGTTTTTTAACAACATACAGTACCGGTCCATTATATCCAATAGGTTTTTTTCAGTTGATTTTCAGCCATTTAGATCATTTTCAGATGCCTGGAGTTGGGCTGCCGAGTTTCCGATTATTTACAAAACTTTGGAGAGTGTAAAACAGTTTTAAATTGAAAATTTTGCATTTACAGAATTTCTTGATAGTTACGGAAAATAACAGAAAAACTAGAAATTTTCAAAAAATTCATATATTTAATTCAAAGTCTTCAATCTATAATAGGTATGTTTCACATGCTTCGAAAATTTTTAAAGTGATCGGACACTTGGCAGTCGAGCTCCAGATTTCGGAAAATTGTAAAAGTGGCCGAAAATCAACTGAAAATATGTTTTTGTATATCTTATTGCCTTTTACTGTATGTTTTCAATATTTTTCACATCATATATTCATTTTATCAAGATGTTTGTGACTTGTGATATTCTAAACAAACTGCCTAACCGTGATTTGATGATTAAGTTTTATTTTTGTGCTGAAATGTCACAAAACACAATTCAAAAAAGTGCAACATCAAAACCAACCTCTGTTTCTCGCGACCACTTTTGAACGAAGTTTGCTCTTGTATTGGCGTTCCCGATGAAAAAGTAGCATAAATCGAGAACATTTCTGCGAAAAAGAGTTCACGTGAAAAGCAAAAGAAGAGGGGGGATCATAGTGTTTTTAGTTGTGGAGAAAGAATATAAGAGATAACCAAGCAAATACAGAGGTTAGATACACAAATAAATACAAACTATATACAAACTACAGTACTGATCAAAACCAAAAAATGTAGTTTTTTGAGCCAAGGTGCCGACAAAGATGTTATAATTTTAGGGAATGATGGGACCAATCGGACCACCAGGACAACTTGGTCTTCCTGGACCAAAAGGAGACACCGGTCCAGCTGGACTTCCAGGAAGCAAGGGAGATCAGGGAAAGGATGGAATTCCAGGACTTCCAGGTAACAAATTTCCTAGTAGAGCGTCAATACTTTGAGCATAATTATCGGGGTTCCTATCGGATATACCTGAAATCTGACAATTGTTAAACAATTTGTGATATTATAATAAGCAGTTTATCAGTTAACAAATTTTCATATCTTTGACAGGAACCGATACAATTTGGCACAAAGTTAAAAGTTAGAAGAGCCTTCTATGTGTTACGGTAGCTCGGTTCCTATGAGGGATATCTTAAATTAGTCGACTGATAAAATATTTGTGATCTTGTTATTAACTATTTCTCAGTTGACCAATTTTTGATATTTTTTACAGAAATTGAGTTAATTGAGATCAAAGTTCAAAAAAGCTAGCAAATTGTCATATTAAAAAAAAACAATCTGAAATTTTTTTGAGATCGTTTCAGAGATTTTGAAAAAGTGTATTTATACTTTGAAAATATTTTTATCCCATATCCTTTTTTATAATAATCCATCTTTGATCATCATCCTTCACTTTTCATCCCGTAATCCTATTGTACTTGTCAGGTTGGATCGTGAACGACAAAGGATACTGCATACTGGCGCTTGGCAACTGTCCCCCGGCTTTCACTCAAATTGGAGCCTACCAGGTCTGTGTGACGGCTTCTTCTTCTTCTTTTTTCTACTTTTTTCTGTTAGAACTAAAGACATCTAGTTTGACGCAAGAAGTGCGAATGCAACTGCGTCACAAGATAGTTTCAAAGTTTTGCATTTCTTTTAGCACATCTTCTTTTTCCGGCGTTGTGGCAGAGGGGAGAGAAAAAAAAACATGCATATAATGCAAAGAAAATTGTCTGCGAACCAACTTTCGCTTTCGGAACAAACTCTTTGTTACTGGAAGAGAGAAGTTGAAATTGACTCATTGCGGTTGATGAAACACGTTTGGTTGGGAAGATGTGGCAAAGAGGCAAAAAGGCAAAAAGAAACTTCTTACGAATGTCAGTATACAGTAATTAGTAGTCTATGATGAGTCAAATGTTCAAAATTCAAGTTCAAACACTTCTCACTTTCAGTGACGAATGACATTCTAGTCTTGCCGAATTCATTGAAGAAGTTTTCAGGCACACGTTGACAATTATCGCTTCGGCGACTATTCACTGGTCAAGTCATCCGGCATCGGCGGAAACGAAGAACAATTTGCTTTGAAAGTTCATGCTTGCTGCCGATAATTGGTCCGGGGGCGGTTTACAAACAACTACTACTACTCGAAATATAAAAAATCAAATGAAATGAAATGAAATGAAATGACACCTCATCAAAAACTTCTCACATATATTTCTATTCTCACTCTTTTCTTTCAACTACTTGAATAAAACTTTGTTTGTGTTGTTTTGGTCAGAAAAAAAGAAGTATAAGTGCGTTCCGGGGTCATTTCAATGGGTTAGTATTTAAGAGAACCTTGAAGAAGATCACTTGAAAATTGAAAAAAATATATATAAAATCGGAAAAATTACATTATATAAGAAATGATCGTTTTGTGAAGTTTTTTTTATGTTTTAATTGCTATTTCGAACAAAAACCTTGACATTTGTAATTGTAGTAGGGCTTGTAGTTTGGATATAAAGTAGGTTCAGAAGTGGTAGTTGAAACTGTAGTGAGTTCAGAGGTGGTAGTTGGGACTGTAGTAGGTTCAGAGCTGGTGGTTTGGATATAAAGTAGGTTCAGAAGTGGTAGTTGAAACTGTAGTGAGTTCAGAGGCGGTAGTTGGAACTGTTGTAGGTTCAGAGCTGGTAGTTTGGATATAAAGTAGGTTCAGAAGTGGTAGTTGAAACTGTATTAGGTTCAGAGCTGGTAGTGTGGATATCAAGTAGGTTTAGAGGTAGTAGTTGGAACTGTATTGTCTATTCAAAATAATCGCGCGGGTGAACGAGTAAAAAAACGTGTAGAGAGTCTCCAAACCTGTAGAGGCGCTGTAGAGACGCAGACATTTTTACTCTTTCACCCGCGCGATTTTTGTGAATAGACAATAGTAAGTTCAGAGCTTGTAGTTTGGATATCAAGTAGGTACAGAGATGGTAGTCAGTTCTGAATTAGGTTCAGAGCTGGTTGTTTGAATATAAAGTAGGTTCAGATATGGGAGTTTCTCAGTTTAATACTTTTTATGTTCTCGACACGAAACCAGATACAGTACGGATGAATAAATTATACAAAAACGTACTTTAGGGAAATTTTCCGTTATTTTTGACCCTTTTCTTAGAGTCTGGAGCTTGGCTTTCAAGTTTCCGATCACTTTGAAATTTTTAGAAAGTTTGAAACACACTTAAATTGAACACAACATTTTTCTAAAAATCACAGTTTCTCAGCTTATTGCTGGTTTCTGAAAGACACTCATTTTAGACAGTTTTGTACAGCAAACGGAAAAATGGTATAATTATTTCACAATTTTTTAAAAACTCAATTGTCATTATTTACCCTTGCCATTTCCCTAGACTTAACTTCCCTAAATTACCTCACATAGGCTGTAAAATCCGTTAATTGTCTTCCACCCATCATTGTCCGTGTCTCTCTCTATAAGAACCCACAACATGTTCCATTACTAATGTACATACGACAAAAAGTGTAACCGTATTTCTTTCTTCTGTACTTCCGAAACTGTCGCTGGTGGCAAGTGAATTTTCTTTAATTGCAGGGCGCCCTATAAAAAGAAACGAAAGTGCACTATACCCAATTCAATGGCACAGCCGTCCCGCATTCTCAAACATCTTTGTTCGGAAGTTATTTTCAAAGTTCTGGTCCAAACGCTTGATTCCAATGATTTCATGCATTCTGTCTGAAAATTAGAAAGAACATGTATAACTTTAAATTGATAATGTTCGTTTTGCACCTGTTTCTAGTTATTTCTGTTTCAAACTTCTTCTCCAAACGTCATAAAGCTTCAAAAAACGATACTCATACCCTTGGACTTTTGGTTTTCGATTCGTTGGAAAAAAAGGAGATTTTGAAGAAAAAGTCATCGAAAAAAACTGTCTCACTCATGCTGTGATAATCCTTTGAATCGCGTTGTGACTGGTATAAAATCGGCGAACAGCGTTATGCAATTGACAATAAAGCTGCTGATGCTTCTTCACCACTTCTCAAAAGCTTACTTTTAATAGAAATCTTCATTTCTGCTATGTCCTTCAAATATCAAGTGTTGTCTCTCTGGTTTTCCCGAGAACAAACTAATTCCGCTAATTATCTTTCTTCTCATTCATTTAGTTTTGTTTCCTCTGTCGAACGGTGTCCATTATCTTCCAGGCAATGAAATCAACGGAGAAGAAGTCAACCGAGCTGGATTTAGAGCTGGAAGCTCAGTCCCTAAGGCGGTAAGTTCTCTAGCTCGTCCAAAAATTATTTATTTTTCAAATAGAGTTATTTCAAATCCAATTTTGATTTTGCATCAAAACTCTGTGAACCAAAATTAGATTAAAATGACGATTTTGATCCAATTCAATACTAACTTTCGGTCCTTAATGTTCCAGAATTGCGTTCTTCGGAGTTGCCATGTCCACAGTGGCCACATTTGTGTGCATAATTACCGTTCCCCTAGCGTATAACAAAATGCAGCAAATGCAATCAAATATGATTGATCAGGTGAATTACCACGCTTTTGAACATTGAGATTAATTATTTTGCTTTATTTGAAGGTTGATTTCTGCAAGACGCGATCCAATCTATTCTGGCGAGAGGTTACCAAGACGCAGGTGAAAATGAAAAGGCTGATATAATTTGTTTGTGAATTATTGGAAAAATTATTTATGAGCTTTGATTTCGGAACACCACTACAAAATTTTCGTGTTTCAGGATTTTAAAATGATGTCATCCGTCTAGATATATTTTGAGAAAATGAGAAAAATTCTGAATCAAAGAACAATGTTTGTTTTCCAGTACATGGCTAGTGCTCGTGGAATTCGTGTAGCTCGGCGAGCTGAGAAACGGTATAGCACCGACTATGACAACCAACGGACCGCCTATGATAGATTCTACCATGCCCAGCAACAATATGACAGGGATAGCTCTAGAGAAAATGCCAGGGATAGCTCCAGGGACAGAGACTACGATAAGTCTGCTAGCTATGGGTTATGGAATACAGAATCTCCTCTACACTACGGTAGCTCTGCTTCATCTGCCTCTGCTCCGGTTTACGGTCACAACTATGGCAGCAATAATGGAGGAGGTGGTTGCTGTGGTTGTGGACAATCACCACCAGGTCCCCCAGGACCACCAGGAAGTGATGGGCAACCTGGATTAGATGGAGAACCCGGTTCACCTGGAAGAGACGGACCAGACGCACCACGACCCACACCTGCACCCGAATTTGTAAGTGACGTAACTCTAGATTACAATTTCGCCTACATAATTTTTTCAATCCATCATTTTGTTTTTTTTTCTAATTTTGCATGACATGTTTATTGTAGGATTCGTGTTTCGAATGTCCCCCAGGAGAACCAGGACGTCAAGGTATCCCAGGTAGAAAGGGACCACCAGGAAGACCAGGAGGTAGTGGGCTACCAGGAGACAAGGGAACACCAGGAACACCAGGATCCGTAGGACCAATTGGCTCAGCTGGTCAGCCAGGAAATCCAGGATTGCCAGGAGGAAAAGGTGCGCCAGGAAAGCTTATCAACGTGGGAGGACTTGAAGGACCACCAGGATTGCCAGGACTTCCAGGACTTCCTGGACTACAAGGTTTCAAATGTTTTAAGGCTTCTTAAGTATAAACTTTGACATTTTCTAGGAAAACCCGGAAACGATGGCTACCCTGGAAGAGATGGCGCGCAAGGTGACCAAGGAGAAGACGGAATACCTGGAGCACCTGGAAAGCCTGGTCCGAAAGGATATCCGGGTCCCGATGGAAACGCCGGTTACCCAGGTGATTTTTTTAATTCATTTTTTCGTGTAGCATTTTCTAATCAATCTGCAGGAGGAAGTTTGTACAACATTCAGAGAAACGGAACTAGAAAGTGTAAACATATTAAAAAAACCCTAATACGGAAACTGCGTCCTTTTCCCCTTCGTCGTCTATACCCACAATCAGATTAAGGCAGAAGACTAAAGTTTAGACTTCAAGAATATCTGCTTCCAGACTGACGTACTAGTTTTTTTTCCTCTGCAAACAGAAAAAAGAAAACCAAGCTATAGATATGGAAGCCCACGATCGGAAGTGAATAAGGAAGCGCAATTCGCGAAGCGACAAGCAAAATTTTGAACAGAATTCTCCCCTTCTCAGAGATTGTAGTATCTATTGTTATATTTCTCCAGGCGGATGCGATCATTGCCCACCCCCGCGGACAGCTCCCGGATACTAACGTCACCACCGACGATCTCCCACATCTCGAAAAGTGTATCTGTAAAATATATCTTTCTTTGTGAATTTTGTGAATCACTACATAATAATTCGTCTCGTTTTTTATCCCCCTTGACGTATTTTTTCTCGCTTCCCACTCAATAAAAAAAAAACTTCGGTTCCAATTCAATTATTCATATGCGTATATGTATGTGTTTGTGTGTTCACATAAAAAAGAAAGGGCGATGAAATAATAGGGAGGTAAAAGCTTCCAATAATTTATAAGCGGGGGCAAGCGGGAGATTTTTATAGATGTTGGTCCCCCAAAACATTACATTTGAATTGAACTAAAAGTGCCCTAACCCTCGAAACTTCAATCTCAAATAAACAATTTTAATAATGAGGGAAGATTCGGGAGCTAGATACTTTCATATATTGCTCTATATTGCATGCATCGGCGAAGCAAGGTACATTCACTACGTAAATAAACAGATCGCCTATAATTTGATTAGTGAAACGTGCTCATCCTTGTTTATCATTATGGTGTCTAGAAGCGTTGAAGATTTTCCACGTGTAGAAATTTACAAATTCAAATATTGTCTCACTTCCTATCGTGTTTGTTCGCCGGATGCTCAGATGTGTCGTAGCAGAAACTTCCGCTTTTATCATAATTGATGACATCTTATCTTTTTTCTGTTAGATAAGGGTAACAAACCTTTTCCATTAAAAAAAATCCATGACTATTAATGAGCCAGTGATCCCATCATCCGAAAAAGATACCCAGATAGACACAAGCTGATTGTCTATGAAACGTTTTTTGCAAGTTTGTCAAGTTGTTCAGAAAAAGTTGTTTTGTTCAGGAAGTGATGTCTGCCATTTCTTCTTTTTTAAGGTTCAATATTTTGTCGGAGCAAAACGCTTGGGCTCCTAATAATGAAAACAGTTAAAAAACAAGTTTTGCTGCAATTCCAGACATTACTCATAGAACATAGCGGTCTAAATTCCGCTAAATTAATTTAGTCTACATATTTTTTATGAAAACTATTTTCGTTCCGTCTAGATTTATTTCCGTCTCGACACATGGGCAAAAATAATACATAATCAAATTTGACGTCCCCAAAATCTCGGGACCACAAGAAAATATAAATAATTTGAACATGACGTTAATACATTTACTCATTTGAACTTTTGTTTCCGTGATTCAGATTCGAAACACATGTTTTTTTGCTACATTACTTCCAATTTCTGAAAATGACAAGTTCCTCCATTGCTATTGGTATTCAAAAAGTATTCATTAGTTTCTATGAATATTTTCTTTTCCGAATAAGTGCGCCGGGCACCTCTAACTCCCACCCACCAGAGAGGCAAAGACTCCGCCCACTATTTCCGAGCCCGGGAACACGTACGCAGCTCTTACTATAAAAGGTCGGCCAAACCTGTGGAACCTAAGAAAGTTTTCTTCTCTACATTATTCCGGACTGATATAAATTGGTGTTTGTATTTATCACTCTACTACTCACACTCGTTTTGCGCACGTCCACATCGAAATCCTCACCTACAGACTCCGCCCCCTTTCGGCCCCACGCAGAATTTTCTGAAATAGGTCTTCACTAGTCGCCTATATAAATTTGCGTTGGTTTCACTTCAATCGTCACAAAGTGAGTTTGAATTTTATCTGTTAGTATAGGACGTCCCCTTTCTTCTTGTTTAAAAATTTTTAAATTTTATCATTTTGACACATTTTCCAGTCTAGAGCTAACATGCTAACATGTTAGGGAGTGGCATCTTGCAAATTTTCAGCAAATTTTTCGAAATTTTCGATTTCAAGTCTATAGGCTCCTTAATAATTTAATAAGAGCCTAAAGTCCCTCAGCAAGAAGTTGATTTTAAAATAAATTCCCTGAATTCTCTGATTCATGATTTCGAAACTAAACCAAAAAATTTTCACATGAGTGGTCCCGACGTAAACGTCATAGGGGTGTCTTAGTATACTGAACCCCATAATTCATCTCGCCAGGATTAACCCTAACTGATGTTTTTGATGCGTTCCCCCCCACCCTCTTATGGACCACGAGGATACTTTACTTTTTTCCAGACAACTAGAGGTTCATAGGTTAGACACGTATTCGGTTCCTTGTCCTAGAAGGGTGTTTTTTTGTGTGTTTGAATATTTTAATAGACTTGTTTGTTCCCACCATCAAATTTTCACGCCTACCCAATTGAATTATCTCAGAGATCTTTTTAAAAATCTAAAATTCTAGAATTCATTTTTTTTCTTGTTTATCAATCAGCTATTTTTAGGTAAAATGCAATCCATGTGGATCATCGTTTTATTGGCTTCCACCGCTTCGCTTGCCCTCTGCTCGGCGACGTACGAAGACTACGAGACACCAGTGGTATGTGATTGATCTTTAGTATTCTCCCGTTTTCAAAAAATGACATTTTTCAGGACAGCTACGAGATGGCGGATTATATGTCTAAGGTTTCTTTTTCGAATTTCGTTTTGAAAATTTATGTAAAGTTTTCCTGGAAATCCCGGAATAAGAATTTCATTTCAAGTTTTAATCCCAAGGGATTAGACTACCAAAATTTTAGTATAGTTCCTGTGTAGGGCTTCACTAAAATTTAACATTCTAAAATGAAGCGAAGCCTTTGAGTTTGCAACGGTTTGAACGTTTTAATCCAATTGTAGCATGCTGCAATTCTAATCCCGCGACGCCTTCTACTAACCCAAGAAGAGGAGGCGCCGCTGGAGAACATCCGGTCGAGAATTCTGAAGAGAAGAGCTATGGTAACCCCTCATATACAGTAGTGCATTGTATTACATAACTTCTTAACCTCCCAGCACGTTCCGCACACCGTTTTCCCGCACTTTGTTAACCACTTCTACGTCGTTGGCTCCCCTTAATCCTATCAGTACCATGGCATTTGCAAATTTCACGTCTGAGCATCTACATAGCATCTAGATAGAAATTGGAATGCGATTCTGAATGGCGAATGTCAAGCCTGCTAACAATTATGATAACGCACCATACTTCAAACTTATTAAAGTTTGACGAAACAACCTTTAGACTAAGACACATTTGAACACTTGAACACTGTCTAGAACCTAACAGACCTTGTAATTTTATCAAATTATTTAGAGGAAAAAACCAAACAAAAAAAGCAATGTTATATATAAGGTCAGCTGTACGTTAGACTCCTTCAACTTTTGTGAAACTTTCTCTGAGCATAAATTCGAATATTCTAATGCTGATCTTGACCTGGGCCTATCGTATTTATATCGGATTTGGTATCCTTTTTGCTTCTGACGAGAATATTGTAAGCAGGATAATCTTTCTTAAGCTGCGTGATGTACATTGTGGTTATGAATTTTAGCTTCTAAAACTTCTTATCAACTTAAGAACATAGCTTTCTTTTTAGCCAGAAGATGGATTCACAAAACGCGCCACGTCTTCTGCCGACCGCCTCGCCGCGATTCCCCGCTCCGGTTTGATGATCTCCGGACGTGGATGGATGCCAGGATTTGTGGATCAGCCACGTGTTTTCAAACGAGTGAGTTATATCAACCGCTTTTTAAAAATTAGAGTTTTTTAATTCCAGTCAATCCCTCTTCACAAGATCTTGGTACGACCGATGAACGTTCCCGTTGCGTAATATGTTCTTCCACCCCATCATCAAAATGTAAACTGGCCACAATCTCAATCTCCCTGCATGCAAAATAAACAGTAAATAATACCGTGAAAAACATCTTCATCATTTGGCTCGATTCTATTTATGCTATGAGTAATACGTCATCATCTCTCCGCCATCTCACGCCCCAATAAAATGTTGTGTTACTTCGTTTTACAGTCTAATTCCAAGAAAAAAGGGAGAATCAATTCTTGAAACACACAACTATCAATTTTCTAATTTCATTGTGATGTCAGAATTCTAGGAACTAGTCGAAAATTGCTGTGCTAATCAGACAAGTGTTCAGAGGTTTCAATTGGTCAAAATCTTGCCAGAATGTGTATTGAAATCAGAAATTAGATCAAAAACTCAGACAGCTTTGATTTAATGGTGTCTTTGACAGTAGCGAAAAAAATATCATTGAGTTTAGTGTCGTGACACATCCAAGCGGTTCATCCTGATACGAATTTGTACAAAATAGACGGCCTCGCGGGAAGGAACTTAAAAAGTCCGCTCTATCGCACGCAGTTGGCGCCGCCCAGTACAAGTTGGCGCCACGTATTTCAATGACCGAGAAAAATTAATTTTTTTGAAAAAATCACTGCGTAATTGAGAGACAGAGAGATTCGAAGAAAAAGCCGCGACGCGGAACCGTTACGCGTTCAAATTTGGTACGTTGCTTCAAACAAGGTTCCCTTCCTCGAGGCCGTGAAAACAGTTGTCAATAACAAATTTGAAGCTCTATTTTTGTTTTATAGACCTGGTAACTGCCAGGCACATTTAACAAAACTAGTATATTTTTAATCGGAAGGGAAGGAACTGTCCATTTTTTAATTCGTGAATAACATGAAAGCAAGAATTATTCTAGATTGACAGTATGCGCCGTTGCGGTCCATGACATTTGACAACATTCAGTTAACTTGTAAATATCATACCTTCAAAAGCCAGCTGGCCGCGACTCAAAGTATTTTTCCGCCCAAATTTTATATCAAATATCATGCTGACAACATTCAGGTAACCATCCCTCCAAATCCCCATTTGCCGCGAATCAAAGCAATGCCGTTTTTATCTCACCGACAGTCTTAAATTATTTCCCTCCAGATGACGTTGCATAGCTTCTAATAACCTATAATAAAAGGGCCAAACTTGGCCAAGTCAAGTCGAGTCAAGTGTTGGAGGGTCGTAAAGGAGGATCTTCCAGCTACGGCGGTCCTGGTATTAATTGCGTTCCCGTGGAACATAGGATCTCGCGTTATTTAACGAAAGTCAATTCAGTCCAAAGACGCTTCAGATGGACGGCTCTCAACTTTTCTTAAACTCCTGACTTGACCCTTTATTATTGGTTATTCGGAGATATGCAAAGTCATCTGGAGGGGAAATAATTTAACACTGTCGATGAGATAAAAACTGCATTTTAGAAATACTTTAATTCACTGCTAGTTGGCTTTTGGAAGGATGGTATCCACACGTTACCGCAATATTGTCAGCATGTCGTGGACGACGGTGATACATACTGTCTATCATGGATAATTCTTGTTTTTGTGTTAATTGCAAATTAAAAGAGGGGCAGTTCCTTCCTTCCAACCTGATACCAAATGGAACTTTTTTTTAACCATTGTGTCACCCAGACATCTTTCAGATGTCTCAAATACTTTGTGGCAATTTCTGTTTTTGTTCCAGACAAAATGTTGTAAGTTATAAAGTAACAAAGGCTGAATTTTACAGTAACACATTTCGGTATTTTATGAATAACCAGCCTTATGAAGGTCTGAGAGCCAACGAGAATTTGAAAGTTTTTGAAATCAATTTATTTCATACTTCATAAAATTTCTTTTTAAGTTCATTTTTTCCGTGCCAGAAAAACACTTTTTGATGTTTCAAAAAATAGATAACGTTTATTTTAAGAATTCTGAGATAGTCAACAAACGGGACAAAACGGGGGGGGGGGAACTTCTGGAAACATAAAAGCAAATATTATTCGTAAATCATTTCCAGCCTATAAAAATAAAGTTTTTCAATTTCACTTCTTCCATAGCCATGCGTTTCACAGTTTTCTGTTTTTTACTTGCTCTACAGTATGATTTCGGCTGCGGTCAAAACTTCACCTATTTGGAGTTTGGAAAATATTCACAGAATCTGACTACTAGTGGAAATCTTATAACTGATATGTTTCTAGTTTCACTAGAAAAACCAGTAAGTCAAATGTGTACAATAAGGAAAATAGGAGATTCAGAGACCCGCGATTCGAATTGTTGTCAATTCTGTGCAATTACTGTCTATCCGGATGATTCAATTTGTGGAGCGCCGAAAAGTAATGAAACCCTCAATAGGGTTAAAGAAGCTCATATCTCAGTTTCACCTGTTCCAGGTTTAATTTTACCTTGCTGACAAGAGAAAAGCTAAACAAAACAATCGTTTCAGGATACTCCTTTGAGTGAGTTAAAAAAACATTCTAATATTCTAAAATCCTTATTTCAGCATATCTAAAATACCGATGGATTGATAGTTACGAGAATAATGAGCCGCCAAGTATTTTCGAAGGGAATGACACGGAAGTGAATGCAATTGTCTCAAAAAAGAAGTTTTTTAATAAGCCATCTAATATCGTGAGCTATAAGGAATACGAAAAACAGAGACTAGTGAAAGACTCAAAGTATTTCAAGTAAGAATTCAATTTCTTGAAACTATCCACAGACAAATTTCAGCTTTTTGTTCTTCCAAATTTTCGGGTCCATTCTTCCTGCACTAACAACATTATTTCAAAATCGACAGCAGTCATCAAATCGAATGGATTTGGATAGATGCTACCTGAACTACAAATGCGCTCCAGATGCAATGTACTTCAACTCTCTGAACAAGCTAACCAGTGCTAGTAGCTTGGCAGTTGTTGGAATATTGAACTTGATTGTAGTCTTTAGAAAAAATATATTTCGATATCAAATTCCCAGATTTCCCACTGCGCATGGTATTCAACAAAGGGATGCTCCAAAAGTGGTTTGCTTGTTGGGACTCGTGGCTATGGGTATCCTATGGTCGATTACCTATGGTCGATTACCAATAATTGTCCACATAAAGCGACTCTTCACTTGTGTAAGTATTTTGAAAAAGAAATCAAAATCAATAATCTTCTTAAGATGTCTACGATTTTCAATGGTTATGTTATTCCGCATGGATGTGGATCTATTCAAAACGGCATGGTGTGCGGAGATGGCAGCAATATTTTATTATCTCCGTGTCTTCTCTGTTCGGGTGTATCACACTAGCAGAAAATGTAGTTTTTGGTAATTTTGAGAATAAATTAAAATAATATTTCAGGAAAAACGATACTGCCCGAAATGAACGATACAGCAAGGTTGATGATTAAAATTTCATTTTCCATTACTGCTACTTTTGCCACGAGTTTTCTATGCTACAAATACTACTATGAGGTATAAACCGGTCAATAACATACTTGTGAAGGGCCGGGCCGAAACACGAATTTCACAGGCCCGGCCCGGCCCGGCCCGGAGGCCCGGTCGGCCCGGTCGGCCCGGAAGTTTACCGCGAACTTCAAAATCTTGAGCGAAAAGTTGAATCATTCATCAAAATTCATTTTCAAAAACAAAAACAGCATGACGATGCTCCGAAATTCCGCATTCGCATTGTTTATCGCTTTGACAAAAATGGCGGCTGTTTAAATTCATTTTTCAAAAATTTTGTTTTTTTTCTGCCGGGCCGCCGGGCCGGGCCGGACCGGGCCCTGAAAATTTTCTCTCGGCCCGGCCCGGGCCGAAATTTCACAAGTATGGTCAATAAGATATACAAAAACGTATTTTTCAGTTGATTTTGACTATTCTCAATGATTCTCGAGCTCGGTTGTCAAGTTTTCCGACCACTTTCGGTGGTGTAAAACAGACCTAAATTGATTACTTTGCATTTACAGAGTTTTTTGAAAATTCCTATTTTTCTAGCTACAAAGACGGGCAAAAAAGAGGGGTCTTCCAGGTATTATCAAATAGCTGGAAAGCTAGGAAATTACGAAACATTCTGTGAATGCAAAGTTGTCAATCTAGATATGTTATACACCCTGCAACATTCTGAAAATGGCTGAAAACTTAACAGCCGTGCTCCAGACTTCTTTCTGATAATCCCAAAAATCTATTCAAAAGAATGTTTTTATATATCTGATTGGCCAATTTTGCATATTCTAGCGTCCTTCTGGCCTAAACGTTCATCAGTGGATTAAAAGACCTTTAACCAAACAAGAAAAAATTTTATCGGAAGCAGACATTGTCTATCAGCCATTGAAATCTAAAATTGTGTATATTGTCGTATTCATCCTCTACACCTTGTTATGGTAAGAGACTTATCTATATTACAGTTTCAAAAAACCGATATTTTCAGCTCAGTAACCATATTTATTTTCCCAAATCAAACCGAAACCCAATGTTGCTTTCGGTTAGGCAAAGGACAAGTTGGAATTTATTTGGTGTACTACATTATTCAAAAAATTCGATTCGAATGGAATACCTTCTCATTACGATCAGTGGTCTCTTGCTCACTCTATTTTTTTTTCTCTGTGGAATGTATGAATCGTTACAGTGCGACTTATCGGAACACGTATGCAGCGTCTGTTAGTTTTTGAAATTGATGAACAACAAAAAACGTTTATTTGTTTTAGCTTACACCTGCTAGATCCTGCGAGCTCAACTCGGATTGTGTGTTGCCTGGAGTTGATTGGAAGGATCTACGACACTATAATTGTGCATTAGATTGTTTCCTTTTTATTGTTTTATTATACTTATGGATTTGATAGATTCGAATAGCAAAGGTGTGCCGAAAAAACACATTTTTGTGTTTTAATTTAATATATAAAAAGTTTTAGGATTTTACTATAAATTGAAATGAAACAAACCACATGAAAAGACAATTTGACTGTCTTGCACAAGTAAAAAATGAGTTCAAAAACACAAATAAAGTGAGGGGCATCTGTCACAAGCAGGTGGACACATAGATAAGCGACGATGAGCAAAATTTTTTTTCATACTAGGAAAAGCAAATTTGCACAAGAGTTTGAATATTCCTCATTCTCCTAGAAGATGTTTTTAATATACAGTACCGGTCTTACAAAAACGTGTTTTCCAGTTGATCTTTGGCATTTCCAAGAGTTTAGAGCTTGACTGGTAACTTATTTATCGGTACAGTATTTTTGATTCAATGAGTTTTTTTTTCGAATATTCTGTTTTGATATTTTCGCCTGCTTCATTAATTTTCTTATCTTAAAAAGACGTCAAGAAAGATGTTCCTAAAACTTCTTGAGATCTCGATTACCCGTTTCTGACTTGCCCCCATCCCTTTGATCATGCCACTACCTTTCTTTTCCTTCCCCACATTAGGACTAACTCTTGCGCGTTAGTCCTTCTTAGCTTTGTGTTTTTAACCGTTTTCTTTCTCCGGTTCCCATCTCTCCTTATTTCTTCAAATTCTTCGAATAAACGAAAAAAAATATAAAGAAAAAGCCTAATTTTAAAATCAAGAAAATGTGTTGGTGATTCCCACGCGTTTGTTATCATGAGTCATTTTTTATTACTCATGCATAAATAAATATTACTATAAACACGTTTTAAACTTCTCCATGACTTCAACTTCTTATCAGTTTCATGTTCTATCAGTTCGCTCATTTTTAAATTGCATGCTTTCAGATTTTTGTATAACCCAAGTATGATTCTCTTTGCGATTTCTGTATTACTGATTTTTGAAACAGCTTCAAGTCAGTTCAATATAACAAAAATCGGATATAAACAAACAGTAAAAGGAAAAACAAATGGTGATCTAATTCCACTTTTGTATGAAATGATACCTATTAATGACACCAGAGTAAGGAATTGTTGTTTTCTTATTATTAGTAATCTGCTATTTTTCAGCCATTTGGAGTTATCATTATTCTTTCGAACGAAGAACGCCCGATCGACGATCCGATTTCGTTGACCGCAATGAGAGGTGCTTCTGTACTGACAACAAGTGTGCGTTGCTTTTTTTGAACAATTTTGGTACCACCACTCAAATGTCGTTTTAGAATGGATCATTTCGACACTGACTATCATGCTATTAGACGTTTTCGAGCCGATTTTCCCACAGCAAAATATTTTACAAGACCATTTCACTATGACATAAAAATTACAGCTTCCAAGAACACAAACATACGAAGGAATTTCAACTCGGTTTCCTGAAATGAGTGAAATGTTGTGCGAAGAGAGAAACTTAAAAGATGAGACTTTCACAATGGTAACAATTAACACATAATGTCTTAAACTGTTAATCAAACATTTTTTAGACAGATGAAACTGTTCGAATTGCGGTTTCTAGCAGTGTTCCTGCACAGTTCATGTTATTAGTAGAGCCTGACTTTGGCTACGTGTTGAGGTTTAAAATTAATACAATAGCCTCTAATTTTTTTTCAATCCAGAATAGGCCACCCAGTAAAAAAATACGTGTTACCTATAGCTCCCTACTTTTCGCGATTTTCTTTTCCACGTGGTTTGGATACAGTTGCCATTCGAGTCAGATCAATTGACGATCATTGCGGAAGAGTTACTATTCAAAAAGCGGATGTTTCTAGTTTAATTTTGAGATTTCACCTAACAACCTTTTTTACAGTGTCCAGTATTTGATACCGAAGGTCAAGTCGTCCTTTACAACAAGTATGAACACCAAACCATTACTAGGAAAGGTTATATCATAGTTTCGGTAAGATGACTGAGGTTCAAAAAAATTGAAATATTAATTCAGAGGACCGATTTCGGTGACCATATTCATATTATAACATCAGTGCTGCCTGTGGAAAAACCTTGTCGATCGAAGAATGGACCACCGATTGCTAAAAATGCGACTGCATGGAAACACATGGAACTGAAAGTGATACCATTCCAGCGTATGCTCTTAAATTTTATAAAATCCTGAAATCGATTCTTCAGCAAACAAGACATCAATCTATATGCTTTTGGAGTTGTTTGTCGTGTTGCTAGGTGTTGCTGCTGGATTAGGTGAGCCAGAGAACAATGGTAGTGTCGAAACTTGATCTTTCAATCTTCTGATTATCTACGTCACACTTTCCCGTTTCCTTTCTCATTTTTGCTCATCCTTAATTGACTCCGTTTGATTAAGCTTATCTATAACTTGCATGCCTACAGTACCTGTCAATAATACAGGGCGCGTCATAATTTTGAGGTTCTCAGAAAAAATAGAAACGTGGAGAAAACTGGCTAATGCCATTCGATTGATCATCCCAAAAAACCTAAATATTCCAAAAATAAAGTATTTCTCAAGTATTAGAACTACAGTGAACAAAATTATCTCTGCCACCCGTGCCATAATGAAAACACCACCCTGGAAAATGAAAAATCGCTAAAATAGTCTGTTTTGTCGATTTCTGAAAAACACCTGTTTTTTTACGTTGTCAGTACGAAAACCCCTAGGCCTTTTTTACACCCTCCAAAGTTTCTACTCAATCGGAAACATAACAGCCGAGCTCCAGACTCCAGTGAATGCCCGAAACTCCACTGAAAAATAAAATTATTTCCAGCAATTTTGCTTTACGACGAAAACAATGAAAACGACGAGGATAGCATTTTGAATGGAACCACACACTTTTGGACGTAAGATCAGTCATTTTCTCTTATTTCAACACAACTAATCATTTCAGCTACACACTATCCCAAATCTATACAGTAATCCCTCTTGCCGTTGTTCTTGTTTCGCTAAGAGATTCAGAATTTTTGTTGTCCTCTGACACGGATATGTGTAATTTCAATTACGAGTGTGCTATACCATGGGGACCATTCAAAGCAGCAAATAATATGCTGAGTGCTTCAAGTATCGCTGTCGTAGCTCTAATCAATTTCTGGGTGTCCTGGTGTGTTCGTCGCGTTCGACGATTGTTTCCATTAAATGCCTGGATTTTCATGACCGGATTCTTGTGGACACTGATGAATATTTGCCCTCAAAAACACACCTTCTATCTTTGTAACCACTGAAGTTAGGGCTAGGAGATATTGCTAAAACTTTCAGACACATTGGCAATGTTAATGACAATCGTGGAAGCCAAACTCTTACTTTTCGGAAAACGCAATGGTAGGAACATCAAGCATTACAGAATTATCGGATGCCTCACAATGATGCTAATGACACTTCATGCATTGGAGAAGGTCAGTTGTGAGGTTCGAAAAAATCGATAACTATTGTTTTTCTAGAACATTGAACCTAACTTCTGGAGCTACGTCTGGCATGTAGGAATTCTGTGTGTGGAGGCTCTTTACGTTTTCTACTTTTCTCATGCTCATGGAGTCACTGAAGATGAAATTAGAGTGAGAGTTAATTATTTGATTTTTAAAAAATAATTTTTTATCACAGAATGTTGAAATTGTTGAAATGCACCAGTCAAGCTCTAATCAACTAGAACCAGTGGTCAGTTAAAACAATTTCTGAATCACTGATAAGAGTTTTTTTTAGAATAATGAATACACACCTGTTACTCAAAACGCTCCAGCTGTGGTAATTCCGGCAATTGTGAGTATTTTTTCGGAAATTGAATGTTCAAACTAAGTCCGGTTTTCTAGGAATCAGAACAAGATTCGGTGATACTGAATTGTAATGTTGCTGGTTCAAGCTCACAGGTTCAAAATTTGTTTTTTTTACATTTTAGAAAAAAAATTGATGTATTCAGAACGTTGTCGAAGTGGAAGTAGAAACCGAGCAAAATGCAGAAATTGAAAGAAATGGTAGCAGACAGAATTTGGTCCCTGTAGATGAAATAGAAGATCCTGAAGTACGTAGAAATCTAACAAAGCATTTCAAGAAGGCCTATTTGATTTCTGGATTGATCAACATTCTTTTCTGGTAGGTCGACTTTTTTTCAACTTTTTGTGATTATCTTAATCCCTTTAAGAGACTCTCAAACGTAAAACCTTTTCTCGGTTACTGTGAAAGATATGAAAAATTACTCAACAGATAAATTATTTATCATTGTATCACAAATGTTTTATCAGTTGGCCAATTTTTGATAGTTTTTACAGGAATCGAGACGATTGAGCTTAACGTTGACATCTTGGGGTGGGCTTTTATTAGTGAATATACGATATTTAGGGTCATCTTCTTCTGGTACGATTCTTCTGTAATCATTCTACGAGTGGTCCAAACGGACTTTGCAATCTACTTCTTGTTATACTACTTGAACAAAGTGAGATTTTTCTTAGACCGTTTTGCAATATTAAAACGTTTTCAGATCTCTTACGAAAAGGTATTCAAAAGATCCTTCTACGGGTTGACGGTTCTTTTTGCTTTATTCATCATCGCTTGGGGAATAATCAGTGCATATTATCTGCCAGCATTTGTTCCTGTGAGTTGGCTCAGAACATTTTGAAAAAGAATAGAAACATGTTTTTCAGTGGTCCCCTGCAGAATCTCGCACGTTGAATAAAACCTGTTTCTCCGTAAATCACTACTGCCTTGGTATGGATTGGCACGATATACTTCATTTTGTGACTGCTGCAATTTGTTTCTTGTACCCTTTAATTGTTTCTAAAATTGATCAAGCGTTCAAAGTGAACGAACCTTCCCGAACTTTTTAAGCATTGATGATTTTTTTTTCTTTTTGTACGGATGTTTTCTACCTCGACGAATGACTAAAATAAAATGTACAGTGAACAATTTTTGTTTTCGTTCGAACATCCTCTAAAAATGTGCATGGTACGAAAAGTATTTAAAGCTATCGTAAAACCGATTAAAATGGTCAAAGATCACAGGAAGTCATCACAAGTTGTATCTTATCACTAAGTACTCTATAAACCCTGTTTACGTTTTTTGCATTTATATGAACTAGTCATCTTTAAGAACTGAGTCATTACAGTTTAATTGGGACATTGTTGGTCTTGCTAACACTATCTGTGGGTCCAAAGTTCAATTTGCTCACCTTTATTAGTACCGCAACTAACAGACAGACAAAGAATGTGGGCGGAGCCAAGCGGACCCAAGAAATGAAGAAACGGGTTCATAGGATGGAAACAATGAACAAACAACCCTGGAATGGTTGAACCCTGCTGAGAAGTTCCCCGGTAGAAAATCGAATACAAATTATCATACGTTGGTATGTTCTCCACCGTAAGCCGGTTTGATGAAGGGCGGAACCACACCTTGATGAGGAACAATAATAACATTGTGATTTTGTCAACATACTAAAAGCCCATCTTCCTCACTATAAAATGAATGAAATAAAAGCGGTGCAAAAAGTGTTTAACCACAATTTTAAGACCCATCAAAATGGTCAAAAATTACATGAATTTAACACAAGTGGTGATTAACCCAAGTCTTATCACTAAGTACTCCATAAACACTGTTTACGTTTTTTGCATTTTATATAAGCTAGTTATCCGTAAAAATCATTTCAGCTTCATGAAACCGCTTTTGGTCTTCCTATTTTTCGTAGTTCCATCATGTTTGGCTCAAAAGGGTCTAACGATCATACAATTTGACACTTTCTACCGTAATCTGACAACAAACGGTAATCTGGACAGAAATCTGTATGAAGTTCAGACCCCCGCAAATGATTCAAGGGTAAATAACAAACGTTTCTCATGTTTTTTGAACATTTCTTTTTTTCAGCCGTATGCAGTTCGTGCAGTTTTAGTTTCCAAAGACAAATCTCTCGTTGGTTCTAAGTAAAGGAAAATCATACCTTTCTACTTATGTAAGTGTTTATATTTTGCCTTCAATTCCTCTGATTTTCTCGAATTGAAACGTACAATGGCGTTTCTGTAGGATATTTTTTCCTCGCTGAGACACTATGCGAGGATCAGAATCTAAAAGCAAAAACTTTGACAAAGGTATACTGTAACTGTGAAAAATGATTTTTAAATTTTAAGTTTTCAGTCCAATGATACTGTATTGGTATCCGTGTCTAGCAGTGTTCCAGCCCGTTATGATTTGAAAATCAAACAGGTTCATGGATTTGTTATCAAGTAAGAATAATAATTGTTTTCTTTTTAAAATAATTTATTTACAGTATGACGCCAATCTCAGTTGCCTTGTCACCATCCGAACCAGTTTTTTATCGGTTTTCGTTTCCCGAGTTTGTTGATGAGGTTGCTATTCGAGTTTCTTCTTCGGACCAGTTGTGCGGAAGAGTGACGGTGCAGAAAGCGGATGTGAGTTGTTGATGGAGGGAAAAATCAAAAACGAAAAAATTTTTATCGGTTTATAGTGTCCCGTCTTCGATACCGAAGGACAAGTCGTGCTGTATGATTCATACGATCATCAGACTTTCACGAAAAAGTCATTTATAACAGTCAACGTGAGATTTGACTGCTGGGGAAATGATAATCTGAAATTTTTTCCAGAGACAAGACTTTGGAGAGGATATTCATATCATTTTTTCTGTTCTTCCAATAGGTGGCCCTTGTAGAACAAATCATTGTTATGATGATGAGAATGCTGATGACTATGATATTGAGGAGATACAATTTCGAATCAAAAACGTTACTGCTCAAATTAGGCCATTTCGACGTGAGTTCATACTCTTACTTTTTTTTCCTATTGTAGCAACTTACAGCAAATCGACCCTCACTCCTCTTCATTTTGTTTATTCTTATCATCTTATTTGGGTTTGGAACTTGGATAGCCTGGTATTTATACATCAAGGACAACAACTACAATGGAGATGACAGGAATGCTGATAACAGTTTGTGGAAGTTAGTTTACGCAAAAAACAATTCAGTATAATCACCATTAACTTCAGTACATCACTTTCTCGAATGTTCTCTATCCTTCCAACTGCACTCATCGTCGTTGTTAAGCACTATGATTCTCATCTTGCCAAAGACACGGACATGTGCAATTTCAATTTTGAGTGTGCTGTTCCATGGGGCCCGTTTAGAGCTGCCAACAACATGCTCAGTGCATCGAGTATTTTTTTTGTCTCTTGGATTATGATTGCTTTCTCGCTAAAAGGAAATTATTGGCGACGTTTCCTGCCCCTCAATACATGTGTCATGTTAACGGGAATTTTCTGGACAGTGATGAACTATTGTCCACAAAAGCATTCGTTCCATCTTTGTAAGTTTGAGCATTTTGAAATAGTTTAAAATTTATGAACCTTTAAGTTACAATCACAATGGTCATTACTGTTTTGGAAGCCAAGTTTGTACTATTCTCCATAAGAAACGGACGGAGTCCTTACCATTACCACTTCATCAGCGGTTTAACAATGCTCCTGATGTTTGGAATAGTCGTCGATACGGTAGAAGATGAAGTTTTCGGAGCATAATTGAAATTCATAAATTTCAGACTTGGGAGAACACGTGGGTGCACAGAGTTTCAGTGATTTTGGTGATCGCAATTCTTCTTATCTATTCTTGCATATTCTCTTTCTTCCATGGGCATGTTTACTTGAGAAAAGTAGTCGATGTCAGAGAGTTTTATGAAACTCGAGTTTATATTCAAAGTATTTCAGGGTGATGTGCATCCTATAATACCACAGGAAAACGGTCAACAAGGTCAAATTCCACGCGCTGACCAGCAATATCAACCAGCAGGAGAAGTGAATTTATAAGAAGCGTTGAACTATTCAAATATTCTCAATTTTTAGGTAGTTGATGATCAGCAAACGGTCGATGCTGTTATTGTTGGAAGAGATGGTGCTGATCCTGTAGGAGCAAGTAATGAAACAGGAGAGGAGCCGAATCTAAACGGAGCTGAAAGTCAACAGTCTTTAATTGACTGAAGAACCGAAGCGAATTCTCCACCGATGCAAGATATCGATTCCCAAGTATCGAAAAGGATTCATATATTTTTCTTTTTTTCTATTTTTAACATATGTGCCTGGTGAGTCGATACCCAAAACAATTTCACATTAAGACACTTTAAAATTCCTTTTTCATGTCATTGTATGGATTGTTCTGGTTGCCATGGTTCGACACTACCATTGTTACACTTCGAATTCTTCAATGTGATTTTTGCCTTTACTTCATTGGGTACTTTGGAATAAACGTAAGTGGATAATGTAAAAAATTTGAATAACAAACGTCTATTTCAGTTATATCACATGGCAGAAAAAGGACAAAATCGCAAGAAACTATGTTTGCTTGTTATAGGAATAATTTTCTTTGTTATTTCTGTTGGGTTTTGGTTCGTCATCTCTACTTTTTTATTGCCAGCCTACGTGCCTTGGTCGCCAGCGGAATCTCGAACTTTGAATCAAAGATGCTTGTGCAATTGGCTTGGTTTGGATTGGCATGATCTTCTACACTACATATCTGCTCTGATTTGTCTTTTTTATTTCTTGATCGTTCGCCAAATGGACACATGCTTCGATCATCGGAATGATGCAGTCAAGAGAATCAACAAATTTTAAATTTTGGGATTTCGTTCTTCTTTTAAATTTTTTTGTTTTTTTTTATCAATCTATAATATTGCTGTACACCACTTGTCAAAGTTTATAATGATTTATTTACTCAAATAAAAAATTGTCACTCTGATCAGTTCTTGGGCGGTGAGCAATGATCCGAAACTTCACACCTGAATCGATTCCTTGGTGTACAGAAGGCCCACTGAATTTCATTATAGTTTCTATCAAATCTCTGCATAATACATGTTTTAAGCTTCAGGTCGCAGTGACATCCGCTTGCTCTGAAAAATTTAAAACATTTTCAAACCTCGGCATATTTCACTTACGCCCACTGAAAACCATTTCTTTCGGAGTTACACCACTCGTTTGGTTCCATGTTCTCCATACAATCGTGGTCTGCGGTGCACGGCATGCTTCTGAAAAATTATCTTTCTTTGACTAACGAAAAATGATTGGAGCCAACAAACATTCCAGCAGTTCTCACAAAATGACCTCCTTGGCAATCAAAATTAGGATTCTCCGAGGTAATATCAGGCACACAATCAGGAGCTCTATAGATATTCGTGGGTGGGAAACATCGAGGATCTCCTGAAATACGTTAACACTCAAGAATATTCAAGTTTTAAACTTACTCAACTGCTCTGAGAGTCCAATAGCAGATAAAATAAAAACCAAAGCAACTGTTTTCATTTTTTCAGCAAAAACTGTTTCTTGAAACGGTACCTGCTTCTTTTTATGAGACATTTTCTATGAGTCACAATGTTACCTTTGTGAATTATTTTCTTTTCAAACAAAATGATATCGTTTTGTTTTTGCTTCTTCTGTTTTCAGGTATGTGTCATCCAGCGTTTCAGTAAAAGTTTATTCAGAATTTCCTAAATAAATCCTACATTCAATTCAGAACATTTTGAAATGTGATATTCATCTAGAGGAGAAACTCAGAGGGAGAAAACTTTCCGTCATAAAAGCCAATATTTTCATGATTTTCTAAATTCCATCAAACTTGTTTTTTTCCAAAATCATATGATAGAGTTGTATAAAACATAAAAATTCAGTTAATATCGCACAGACCTTACCAAGTCCTAAATTACACGAAATTTTGAAATGTCGCTTTTTAAATGGCATGTTTTGCATTTGCTCGACAACTTCGTTTTCTCGAATTCTCATTCTTTAAAAAAATAACGATGAAAATTATTTTCACATTTTTCATTCTTTTTCTCCCTGTGTATTTTGCGGTCCGCGAGCGTGAGTTTTTTTTTGAATAAGATAATATCCGATTTCTTATGATTTTAGAAGGTCCACCAGAAAATCCTGGATTGTTCAATGAATTTGAAAACTATTATGACATTTATATAAACGAATCGACTATGTTTCTACCGGATACAGATCCGGACTTTGAAATCGGACAAGGTTTATATATCCATGGAAACATAAAAATCTCCATAAGAGAGCTAACAGTTTTTTTTCAAAAGTATGACACATTTCGGTACGGGGTTCGGGTGAACAACACTAATCTGGAAACTTTGTCTTTTCTGCAACTATTGTTTGTGTCTAATCTGGATGATTCAGGTTATGAGATTCAGTTAAAATTAAAATGTATTGATTTTTTTCAGTGAATTCTGTTGAAATTACAAACAATCGGAATTTGACAAGCCTTGGTTTTGACTTCAAGGAGTGCACCTACTGCTATAGCAGTGTTCAAATCACTAATAATCCAAAATTGGATCTCAAAAAAGATTGTGATGGCATTATTGCAATATACAACAGTAGAAGAAAGATATCAGGAAATTTGGCTGATTGTGGGTGCGAAATAATTGGAGACTTCAATAGCTTCATAGCTACAATGCCTTCAAACTGCTGGATGTTATTTGGTAATGTGACAATTGATGAGAACTCGGATCTTGGCGTTTTAGAGGTGATACAAAAGTTTTGTGGTTTTAATTTTGATTTTCGATTTCCAGAAAAATTTTGCAAACGTCACTAGAATCAATGGGGGTCTGTCTGTTCAGAAAACACTCTTTTCCGATTTATCATTCTTGCGCTCTATCGAAAGTATTGATAGTGATCCCTATCACTCCACTGTATTCTATAGCATTGTTATCAAAAACAATCCAAATCTTATTAGCCTGGGAATGAATGCAAAACGAGATGGCCTATACCTAATCATCCGTGACAACCCTAAGCTTTGCGTCACTCCACAAGAATTGTCCAATTTTTATGCTGGTGTCGTTCTGGATTCAAATCTAGATATTACTGTTTGCTTTAACAATGAAACTTCTCCGAAATGGTGTCAACTTGGGAATACGACCAATTTAGCTGTAAATTTCTCTTATTTTTTTTCTTTCGAGAAATCACATTTTTCTTCAGAATTTACCGGAAGAATGTGAAGTTTTGGTTGGAGATCTGGTTTTCGATGAGGAATTCGATTTTGATAATTCCTATAAACTATTCTACGTGGAATATATATTCGGAAGCTTCACGATTACAAATAGCTCATTACGAACTTTAAACATGCTGCCGAATCTCATCAAAGTTCGATCTATTAGAGACAACAAAATCCCCATACACATTTTCAATAACTCAGGACTATATGAAATTTTTGTCATGTTCAATTTTCAAGGAGTCGAAAGCGGAGAGAGTTGTGTTATTGAGAATAATCCTAGTCTGGCAATGGATATCTACACTTGTTCTATTTTAAAAGGGAGAAAAGAGGCTAAAACGGGGAACAATTTTCAAAACTGTGGTTTGTTTTCGTTGTTATTATTATTATTATTATAGAATTTTCGCCTAAATATTATTTTGCAGGTGACGACACGACAACCTTGGTTAGAAAATATGACAGCACCCCATTGAACATTGACGTGTATAAAGGCGTTCCAAAGTTTCTGGAAGTTTCTCACGCGGTTGATGGTCCCGGTACTGTAACTCAGAATAACCCATGGGATCGGAACTTCACATCCATAGAAGATAGTGATGAAGATGAATACGACGAGCCAGAAGGGAGCACTTCATATCCTCCAAACTTCATTTATTTGAACATCGCCGTTGTCTTATTGATTTTTCTTATTTTTGAATGAGTAATATTCATTTTTCTTGAAACTGAATATTTCGCAACCGTGACGTTTTAGAACAGCCGAGCATCGCTGAATAGTATAATAATTTTCTGATCAAGCGCTAATAGAAAAGTAACACCTACCATGAGGTCCCGAAAAATCATGTCGAATCAAAATCGACTCTAAATTTCAGAAAAATCCATAGTCATCAACTATACCAAACAAAAGGTTTTTCCACTCAAACAATTTATTGCGGTCTGGGGCAAAGATAAGGCTCGGGGTGAAGATAAATAAGTGGTATGAAGTGTTTTGGCACGGGTGAAAACCAATTATAGCACAGGAATCATTTGAAAATCTATCGTTGACTTTCAATATAGAAAATATTTAGTGTTGGCTTAGACGTTGGCCTGATGGGCGACATGTGCAACACGAGTCACCAGCTTTCCAGATCCAATATCCGAACGAATATCAGCCATGAAACTATCGAACACGTCCATCGTGGGATTGTGCATATCAACAGGCTGGTTGTTGTAGACACGTTGCATGTTTTGGATGCTGAAAATATTATTTGATTTGAGAAAGATAACACAACTGAATAATCACCAATTAGAAGACTTGAACGCTTTGTACAATGGATTATTTTTAGCGACAAACTGATAGATTCCTGATGGGATGGAACCGACAGGATGCGTACGAGTTGGGATGAGATCGAATTGGAAATTTGGTGGCATCGGGACCAATGCTCCTGACAGCGACCTATACTTCGCAATGCCACATTGAATGTGCAAGAATGGCATCTCCGAGACGACACCGTCGTGGGCGAAGTACTTTCCAGCATACTTGAGAGGTTCTGCAGTATCAGGGAAAGTGGCTTTCGGCAACCGCGTAGCATGTCTCCACGTCGGATCGGCAACAATCGAAACCTCTTGACGATACTCGCCGGCATTCGACACATCCGTACCGGTCTTGTGAACTATAGGGCGCAGATTGTAGGGCCTGAAATTTAATAGAAACTAGATAATTTCCAAGCGGCAATGTGTATTTTCTACGCTGAAGTGACTATTGAAAACGACTTACTCAGAATTTCTACGAAGCTTGTTCGCATTGAATTCGGTGTCCTTCCATTCGTTGGCGCTCTCGGCGTACAAGTTGTCATGCGACTTGGTGAGCTGAGTCAGCTGAGTCAGCGCCCAAATGGCTCCGTCACTCCATCCATCCCCATTGAAGTAGTATGGATATGTCATTGGCTTTCTCCAGTCGGCCTTGATGTCAGAACTGTCAAACTCGGTTCCTATCTCCGTGAGGTCATACACATCTCCTCCAAACTTGAAAACATTCCAGCTCATTGGAACTTGGCAAGGGGTAGCTAAAAGTTCAAATTATTACAAAAAGAATATTTTCTCAATGGCTCACAGCGCTTCGGCTCGACTTCCTCAAATTCAGATTCAAGTTCTGCGAAACATTTATCGAACTTGCGTTGGATCTTGGTGTCGGTGGATTCAGAATCGGCACGAGTGTAATCATCCACAGTCGCATTCTGGTAGACGAATTGACTAACGTCAGCGATGGGTTCGGCATCAGGAGCAGCGACTTGCTCGAAAACGTCGTCATCGAGCTCGGATTCATAGACACAGTCAGTGATGGCGTCGTTCTCACTCGGTGTCACCCAAAGATTTTCCTCACAATCCCCACTAACAACATTGTGCAAATCAAACGGATGGCCCAGAGCCGACTTGGAGAATGCAGCTTGTCCGCCACGACTGTTCACGGTGCTTGGTCCATTGTAAGATCCCGAGTGATGGGAGCCGGCATGATGTTGATCTGAAAAAAATCAATGAGAATGGAAGGACTTGTTCGCAAAATAATGATTACTGTTGTAGCCATGCGAATAGTGTCTGGAGCCGTTGCTGCTGTGAGAGTTGTTGCGGGAATTTCTACGACCGTCAGAAGGCATCCCTTGGTAGCCATAGTGGTTGTCCATCTGATGAGAACTTGGATGATTCTCCTTTCGATAGTTGTCCCCAGCATGTCTCGAAACGGAGCGCCACTTCTTGTGATGATACTCCAGACTATCCAGGCGGCCTGAAAAAGTAGGAATTTTTGATAATGGGAATTATTATTTTACCTTTGTATCCAGTTCCTTCGTTCCATCCATACGAGACGTCCGCATGATTGGAATACGAGCGGCGCGAATCACATTCTGAACTTTCACGAGTCTTGGTCATTGGTTGGGCATTGAAGGACTTGTTGGCAGCGCTGTAGCTGTCCTTTTTGCCGACATGATAGTTCGTGACGCCGTAGTTTCCCATTTCTTGTTGGTATCCGTAGTAATTATCTTCACTGGCTCCTCTTCCAGTCGCGTTGGAGTACGCTGACTCACTCTTCACACGAGTCCTGTTGCTTTCAGACCGCTGATAAGAGCTGGTCCGTTGTTGACGAGCCTCGTATTGACCGCTGTGAACACCTAGAAATCAAAAATAGAGATCGAATATTTTTTTTAAAACGCTTTTTACCTTCATGGAATGATATATTCCCAATCGGGCAACCATCCTTTTCGAACATTCTCGATCCGACTTTTACATTGCCGTGGATCCAGTTTCCTGAGTCACTGGCACCGTGGCCTTGAGCATCTTTCATTGGAATCCCTCCGTCGTTCTCCTTACAATTCTCAACACTCCACCCTCTTCCGAATTCGCGTGGGCGGCTTCGGTCACGATTCTTGGACTGGGAACGGTGGAATCCATCACTTGGGTGTCGATCCTCTCCTGATGCAGTCGATTCGGATCTAAGCCCATTTGCTGAAAACAAAACTGTTATTGATTTTTGTCTGGAAAACAAGACAATTATGATTTTCTCTTCTAGTAAAAATCAAGCTCGTTAGGTGTCATTCTGGCTCCAGGAATTTTTGAAAGTTGGCATTTTGAAAGAGAGACGATTCGGAAACATGACATTGTCTTTATTGATTTCAAATCGACAACATAACTTTCAAACTAACGATAACAACTGTACAACTTGCATCGTTTGTACCGGACACTTCGCAAACGGTCATTAGTAAGCTTTTCTGCAGAAAACGGCTCTAGAAATGTCAGGTTGCTAGTGTTAAGTCAATCTTCAGTCGGAGAGAACTTCACGCTTTCGAATTGCTTTTCTTTCGAATTGTCGACTTTCAAAATGTTTCGGAGCCGTCGTTCTACCTGCTGGAAGCTAATTCACTTACCTTTGCTCCAACCGGCCCCAAATTGTGGCGGCTGGCGTCCATCTTCTCCGTAATATTTCGAGCCGTTGCGAGAAGTGCCACTGGACGTGTGTTCTCGATTCCCATTCTGTTGACGTTGAATGTTGTAGTCGAGGAAGTAGTTGCCATCCTCCTTGCAATCTGGAAAATGTCAAATTACAGAAAATCTAGAATTGTTTTTACCTTTTGCGTGGAACGTTCCGTTTCCATCGAAACCACTAGAAGACTTGGATTGATGATTGGTCATCCTTAAAAATTGCTGGTAAAGCTATCGAAGCTATGAACCTTTACTCCAAGTTGGGAAACTGAAAAAAAAGTATTGAAAAAATGCCAAAAACTCAAAACGAGAACGAAAAAGTAATTAAAAATATCACATCACAAGCAATTCAGCCGGAGAAATCGAACCGGGCCACCAAAAACAATAAGAATGAGGAAACAATTGAGCGAGTGAGCGACAAGGGTCAATTACTGGGCAATCTCCCGCGCAATAATAATTTGCCGCGCACACTAGTTTTAGTGTCTGCGTCTCCCTCTTTTCTGCGTCTCTCTCTCTTTTTTTCTTTGTGTTCCTTTCGCGGCCTCGCAAACTGTGCGGTGTGAAGCAAACGCGCTCCATAGAAAATGGCGCGAACCGCTGATATTTGAATCGAGTTGGCTGCGCAATACGGACTATTTGGAAGAGTCAATGCGAAGTGAAATGGAGAAAAAGCGAAGTTATTTTTAATCGAAAATTAGACAAAATTCAGATTAAATATCATGTTTTCGTATCATGTTTTCGTACAAAATTGTCCTAAAGCAAACACAATGGGTCGGAATTCAATAATAGCATAATTGTTTCGAGAAAATTTTCAATTTCGCTTTGAAAATCTGAAAAACAAAAATGAGGTCGCCAATGAAAAATCCATTTTCGTTTGTGTTTCTAGCCAATTGAAGAAATTCATCAACGATTTTTTGTGATAACAACGCTCACATGTCTGACAAGCAAGAGAATATTCTAGGTTTGAAGAAAATTGTTTCTGGTATTCCAAAAAATGACATCTCAACTAGTACGTTGTCATTTTCGGAAAAATTAACGGCAAGAGGAGTGAAGTGTTTGTAGCAACAGACAACTTGGATCTACTGTGAAATTCTGGACCATGAATGTGTTCACGCTCTATTTATTTCAGTGGATCAAAACAAAGTAAAGTATGGTGTGTGGTAGAAAAAGAAAAATTATCCTAACGAGAAATAGAAATGGCGTTTGAGAAAAAAGAGCATTCTCGTTTGATATTTCGCGTCATTTTCAGATATCCTAATTTTTCATTTGCATATTCAACTTTCATTGGCATCTTCAACTCATGGATCTTTTTTTTTATATTGGATCTTCATTTAGGGATTGAACCAATTTTTATCCATGAAACTTCAAAACGTCTAGCCGACTGATTGTTCAATTACCTGCCGGACAAAGTATATAATGTCGACCGGATACGAAACATTTCACATCTTCCTGATTGTGTTCCCGCGAGGTCGCGGGTGTGCTCCCGCAGAATGGTGGAAAAGGCTCCGGTGACTCACCACTTATGCAATTCGCTGGAATAGCAATTTACCATTTCCTTAACGTTCTCCATAATCACCGTACGGTCTCTCTACATTAGTATATCTTTCTTTTCGCTCTCACTTTATATCACACCCTTCTTTACACCATCCGGGGCTCTCTGTTCCGTTTGAATCGTTTATCTTCGTACGTCAATTCGTTATTCTCTTCTATTCATTATCATTTCTAGAACGTTAGCCGTCTTGTTTAGATTGGTCAGTACTTTTGCACTTTTTGAGTTTTCTCATTTCGCCGTTGATGCAAACGCAAAATACTCAAACTCTACAAACTCCTCCTGTTACTTCCAGTATTTAATTGCTAAAAAATAAATCTAGCGATTTTGTTGCGTTTCTATTGGATACAAGATTCACGTTTTTTGAGATCTCCACCAAAAAACTGATTTCAGAATCGTTGGTGCGTTTGTAGAATTAATCTGAGTTTTGATGCCAAGTCTTCCTACAGACCCCTCACTGGCCCCTCACATTTCAACTCACATCACACTCATATCGCTCACTTCCCTCTCGGTACACCCCTGACCTCTCCATTCCTATACTATCTCTCCTCTTCCTGTACTATATCATGCTAGTGCGTCTGGCTTTGGGCGTCTGGTATATGCTTCCTTCCTCTTCCACCCTTATTTCGTGTGTGGGAGGAGTTCTAGCTTACAGTTACATGTCTTCTCGACCTTGGCAGATTTTTCCTATTTCTTTTCCCCCTCCTGCTCTCACCGTACTCTTTCCCAGCCTTCTAGCTTTCGTCCCTCATAGCTCTACTCATTGAACGCTTCCTAGGGCCATTTGTCCTGTATTAGTCTTGTTCTGCGAATTCTTACTGTAGGGAAAAATGATGCGCATGTATTTTCACAGTTCCATATATCCTCTCTTTTGAATTTATTTTTTTCGTTCCTTTCTTCGGAATCTCAATAATCGTTTGATTCCTGGTTTCACAAAAATCTCAGGTTATGGTACTTGTTAGATACAGGTTATGGTACTTGTTAAATGTATTTGAAGTTTTATGGAATTCAGAATTCCAAGATTTCCAAAAATTCCGAGCATTTTCGGAATCAAATTCCGATTGGAATGTTTTTATAGTTTTTTTCTTCAGAAATTTTTGGACTTTCTGTCGAAGGTTGACATAATTTGAAACCTGTGATAGGCGGGGCTCCTTATCGTAAACACTCTAATAGAAGGCCACCCACTACTCGCACTTTGAGTCGATTTATCTGGGTTTCTGTGAAAGATATCGAAAAGTTGTCAACTGATAAAATATTTATTATAACATTAACAACATTTTGCTTGTTGACTACTTTTTGATATCAGTTACCGCAACAAAAATATATGTGCTCAAAATGCAAACATTGGGGTATCTTCTATTAGTGTTTTACGGTAATTTCTAACTTCGAATCAATGTATCTCGGTTCCTATCAAAGATATGAAAAAGTTGTCAACTGATAAATTGTTTCTCATGATATCACAGACATTCTACCAATTGTCATTTTTTTTCATATCTTGCATGGGAATCAAGAAAAATTAGCTCAAACTTGAAAGGAAAGTTTTATTACAGGTTTTAAGGTATTCAGAATTCCTGAAAACGTCTTATTTTTCAAAATATTCAAAAATTTAGCATCTAGTTTTGGGCAGTTAGGTGTGTCAGTCTCTGATTTTGATGAGTTCCAATAAAGTCAAGGTTTCCCTTCTATCAGATAATTTGTTGAGTTTCATTTTTCGGAAACTTCCACGCCAACCGTAAACATCTTAATAGAAGGCCACCAAGCCTTTAACGTTAAGCTCATATATCTCAGTTCTTATGAAAGATATCAAAAAGTAATCAACAGACAAAATATTTGTAGTAATGTGATGAAAATTTTTTTAGTTGACCACATCTTGATATATTTCACAGGAATCGAGATATATAGGCTCAAAGTTCGCGGTTTGGATGGCCTTCTATTTAAGTGTTTACGGTAATTGTGAGAACCACATTCAAATAGTTAATTCTTTTATATTTTCTATAAAACGTCAATTTCGTTTTGCAGACTTTTTGTGGTACGTAATTTTCCGGAATGTGAAAATATGAAAAAAAAGAATTTTCTGAAATTGCGTTTAGGAAAATTCCAAACTTCTCTCCCTAAGGCCACTCAAACCGTCAACTTTGAGCCCACATACCTCATTTTTTTTCCTATAGAATGTATCAAAAAGTGCTCAACTGACCAAATATTGATGATAATATGATAAAGATTTCGGCAGTTAAACTCTTTCTGCTATCTCACACGAAAAGCGAGATAAAAAAGCTTAAAGTTGATGATTCGGGTAGCACCCTAACAGAGTGTGTACTGTAACTTTCCAACCCTCCCTACCCTGTCTCATGTCAGTAAGGTGCGAGTTAGAGAACAATAGACGTGGATAATGAAAAACAAACAGTTTAGAGTGGGACCCCTGTAATCTTTCTCCTGGGAATTCCCCCGGGAAGAGATTATCAAAATCGTTTGTAATCACCGACATGTCAAATGCTCATTTTTTCGTTTTGCATGTTTTCTCGCACCATAAGTTCTCAAAAGATAGCTGATGAGGGGGTAGTTGCTCATAGGAATAACCGCTCATTGTTCTATTTTTTGGAACTCCGCCCTTTCTTATGTTCTCAGTCTGCCCTAGTCCGAGGATCCCATTCGCTCACTTACCTTTCCTAGTTTTGCTGTTTCTCCCCTTTTCTCTGGCAAATACTCATCAGTTTTTCTGGTATTTGCTCGTCTGCTATTCTAGCTTGTCAGCTATAGAGAGCTCATCTGCTATGGGGTTTCTCATCTGGTATTAAAAAATTTATTTATTAGTTGGGTCGTGCTTTTCCAGGGAAAAAATGTTGGCGGCCTAGAAACCTCATCGGTCCGAGTTAGGCCATTTTTGGACCATCAACTAGGATGGCATAAAGAAATCATAATGAAAAAATTAGGCCTCGTAGAGTAATTTTGCAAAAAAAAATTTTGCGAAAAAGTTGAAAAACCATAAGAAATTTCACACTCCCGCCTCACGATTTTCTCTCCATTGAAACATGCAAATTTTCATCGAATTACCGCGTTTTTCTACATCTTACCACCAGATCATAAACTTAATTTTTTGCAGAACGGCTATGTCTTCTTCTTCTACTCCAACTTCGTCTTCTTCTACCCCCTCTTGGTGGGTGAGACGCTCGACAAGAGCAAGGTAAGAGAAAAAACACACTCGAATATCAAATTTACATTAATTCCAGCAAAACTACCGACCGCCTTACCGGATACGGTTCGGGCTCGACGGCTGTCGTGAGGTCACACAAAATAACCGATGGGTTCCCGGTCTTCACAATCAAGACCGCTGATGGCAGGACCCTCAAGGGAAACGAGGCGGAGCTCTGGGTAGGCATTTTTTCTAGAAATTCAAATGCAGTGCTATTGGAAGCTATAGTTCACAATATCATTTTTCAGGATTATCGGGCCGTCATCGACGAGTACAGACACCGACAAAGTCCATTGACGAAATGGACATCCGGGTATTATAAAATTGAGAAGACCATTGAAGAAAAATCTTCAATGGTAAAATTTTCCATTTTCAATGGTAAAATCTTCAATGGTAAAATTTTCCATTTGATTAAATGGAAGGGTTAAATGGAAGGGTTCTGCCCACTGTGGAACTCGTGGATTCCAGAAAATGAAGTTAAAGTAAGTCTTCAATTACCAATCAAAAAAGAGTATAATTGAAATTCAGGATGCCAAAGACGTCTTCAAGAAACGGCACGCATTGAGCAAGAAGAGATCGAAAATTGCGAATCATCCAGCTCCACCATCTCCGCCTGTTGGTATGTTTCATTAGGAATAATGTCGAAAGTTATTAGTAATTTTTTCAGCACCCTACATCATCGAAATGAACGGAGCATTGGCGGAAAGTGGGCCGATGGAACTCAAGTATTTATAAATTTTATTTTTTTTATTCATTAAATTTAACCACCCAACTTCATTTCTTTAATTATCTTGTTCTCCATGTCCCAAAATATTTTTACGTTTTTAATCCACTATTGCCACTTCCCCTGTTTGTTCTCATTATTCATCATCTTTTCACGCCACCTCTCCAATTTTTCCAGCTATTCATTTTTTTTCTCAATTCACTATCCCAACCCGGCATACCTTAAGTCCATCAAAATGTGAAGTCCATTTCAATAATTTCCGAGTATATCCCCCCTCCCCCTTATTTCCTCATTTTTTCGAAAAATCCATTTTCTAAACCCCGCCTCTCTCGTACACCTTTTTCTTGTCAAATAAACCTTACTTTCCAATTGTTTTGTTTTCAAATTCCTGCAGAAAAATGAGAGAAAAATGAATCCAAATGAAGTACACGTCAAGCTAGCTCAACTAGTCCAGGTAGAAAACTCGGATTTCCTAAAACAACAACATTCCGTGCGGAGACTTTTGAGATACCACATAGAATCAATGGCTTATGCGTCGCTGTTCCATCCATTCTCTAGAGAAAGAGAGAACAGCTAGGGGCCTGTCGCCCAAAATATAATCGATACGTTTTTAGTTTTGCATATACTGTTGCGCGATCGAGCTGTCCCCTCTCTTGTTTCTTTTCTGTCTGTTTCTCTGCCTTTCCTCATTCTGCACATGCGCTTGGCGTTCGCGTGGTTCTTCGAAAAAGTGTCTCATCCACAGTTCTGCAGATATTTGGTTTTATTTTGTCTATTTTCTTCCGAGCTCAAGTTTTTCCGCAACTTTTTTATCATTTTTCAAAGCATATATAGTTTGCAAAGCCCTCACTTCAGTCATCGTCTACGACTAATTACCCCTTTGCCTTTTTTTCTTCTCTGTTTCATTTCCCGTTTCGTGACTCTGTGATTCATCTTGGATACACGCAAGGCCCACGGCAACCTCGTGAGAAGAAAAAAACATTTTCACGAGACGAAAATTGAAATTAGTTGCTTGTAGCTCTTTTTCAACTTCACTTTTGGTATCACTTCATTTGCAGTATTAGGGCGTTTAGTAGTTTTTCGATGTAGCAAAAGCGTCCCATACCGTAATACCTGCAGTAGAAGGGCCGGCCGTTCTATTGTTCCAAGGTACCTCCGGAGGACCCTTCCATTACAGGAGCCCTTTAAGTAGGGGTTAGAGGATTAGATGATTAGCTGATTAGAGGAACTTAGATGATTAGATTCATTCTATTTTTTGGCTTTTTTCCCAAAAGTTTTACTCCGAAAATTCGACGAATTTTTGTTCAAAATTTATGAAAATCTATCAATTTCACTAAAATGTAGCATATTTTTCACCAAAAAGGAGTGTTTTAACATATATGTTTCAAATTTCGGAATTTCCGGATTTTTTTTCAATGAAAACGTACGGAAATGTTATAAATGCAAAACAAATATTGAAGGGGCCCTTCTTCACATTTGGCCCTTCTATTACGGAGGCCCTTCTATTACAGGGGGCTCTTCTAACACAGGTTTTACGGTAAACTTTTCTCCTTTTCGTAAACCTGTTTAATCACTAAATACCGTATTCCCTCTAATAGACGCCCACCCAAACCGCCGATTTGCAGCTTAATTCTTTCGATTTTATTATAAAGGTGTCAGCAGATAAAATGTTGGTGATACATATTATGATGAATAATTTATCCGTTGAGCATATTTTCATATCTTGCACAGGAATGGAGATAATGGCTATCTTCTAAGTAATCAGAAAATTTTGAAATTTTGCAGTTTGGTTACTCTATTGCTGAAATTTAAGAATCACTTTGATTTTTAAAGTTATCATTTTTAGCTTTCTCGCTAGGAGCTTCCTTTTTGGTTCATCCAGGCATTGAGATTGATTATAAAATTTTGCAGTTTTTTTCGACCACATTAACTGATTATGAGATCCCTTCTTGATACTCCCACGCATCAGAATATATATATATATATATATATATATATATATATATATATATATATATATATATATATATATATATATATCAGCCTGCTGGCTGCTTCGGCGCAATTCATTGTTCGCCGTTCCACCCCTCACTTTTCGATTTTTTACTATCACACTGTAGAACATCTACGCCATCTCTCCCCTCTCCTGGTGGCTTTGATGAAATTTTAGGTCATATTTTGTTGAGTTGTCAGCTGGTGACTTGGTGGCTCCTATTAAAGGGGGACTCCGACCAAAAATTTTTATTGCATTAAAATGTGTTAAAAGTTATCTATTTTCCGAATATTATTGCGAAAAAATTCAAAAAAAATCCGAAATCTCCGAAAAACGGCGTTGAAAAGGAAGAAAATTCAAAAAAAGGTGCCGCCGGGGGAAGAGGATTTTCAGTGAGAAACCTAGGCCACGGCAGCGGGCGCCTTTCCTACGTGGCAATTTTTCCGGATTTTTTTCAATTTCATGTCCGGCAGGTAAAAAACGTAAAAAACCACTGTCGGCGACTTGAAAAAAAGGCTGTCAGGTGCCGTGGCCTAGGTTTCTCACTGAAAATCCTCGTCCCCCGGCGGCACCTTTTTTTGAATTTTCTTCCTTTTCAACGCCGTTTTTCGGGGATTTCGGATTTTTAAAAAAATTTTTCGCAATAATATCAGGAAAACACATATTTTTTGAAACATTTTAATGCAATAAAAATTTTTGGTCGGAGTCCCCCTTTAAGTGATTTCTAGTGTCTTGAAATTAATCCAGCAAACATTTTCTACGCCCATTAACATTTTAGCGTCTTTATAAAATATCCAGTAGTGCTTCCGCGTTCCTGAATACCCCAGAGGTCGCGAGTACATGGTTTGATATTTTTGGTAGTTTTGATAGTCGAGAGCTTCAAATATCATGGCTAATAGCTGAAACGGAGATCCCTTTTAGAGACGCCCACGCACCAGGATATTGCCCACAAGTTTGTGTTTTTGCTCTAGATATACTGTAACTCGTAGTTTGGTTCAGAACGGTTTGATTTTTGATCAGCTATTTCGAAAACAACAAAAATTCCCTTCGAGACCATTTCTGATGACCCAGAAAATTTCTATGGATTTCCGGCGTCTCCGCTCTTTTTCATTGGGCGGGGCGTGCATATCAGTGAGGCATGTGATTGTGGATAGACGATAGCCAGTTAGTCATCCGGTCCTGTATGTTCGCTCGTCCTCGCCTGTTTTCTCCTCTGCTCATAATTTTTCTTTTTTTCCCATTTTTTCCCCAAAATTTAAACAAAAACGGCCTATTTTTGACTACTTTCTACTTTGTTAATTTTGTTAAATAATGTAACTTTTTCATTGGAAATTTTTCAACAGTAGTAGGCGGGCCGGGCCAAGAAAATTCGTTCAGCCTTTTGCAACTATGGTGTAAATCTGACTTTTACTAACGACTGTATTATGAAGATGAATTATTGGCAACCCATCACCTCATACCAATTTCCTCTCCCGCTCACAAAGCTGCGAAATTTGCCTTTTGTTCTGTACTTGGTCGTTCATCCATCTGTCGCCCTCGTCTGCTGAAATACCGTACTTCTTGATTTTGCCGCTCAGTAATCTTTATAAAATTTTTTGTCGCTTCTTGATTCTTGTTTCTTTGTGTCCCCTTTACACTTTTTTAAATTCAAGGTAGATTCTTCATAGAAACGGAAAATCCGCATTGAACCATTGCGTACTATTCTGTCTCAGTACTATATTGTAAACGAGATTATTTTCCAGAACGATGTCCTCTTCTTCTTCTTCTTCTTCAACCTCTGAACCTAGACGTTCGAAAAGAGCACGGTAGGGAAAAAAAAGAAACATACTCGCTCATCAAATGTATCTTTTCCAGAAAGCCCACCGATCGGCTCACGGGATTCTCGTCGGGCTCAACGGCTGTCGTGAAATCTCACGACATGTCCGAAGGGTTCCCGATCTTCGAGATCAAAACGCCGGATGGGAGAACCCTCGTGGAAAATGATGACGAACTCCGGGTAGGTATTTTTTTAATTGAGAAAATTTTGAATGTAGTGTGGTCGGAGCTAGAGTTCACAGTATCATTTTTCAGGAGTATCGTCTTGTATTGGACGAATACCGTCACCAACAAGATCCCTCTGTGAAATGGAAGGCTGGATTCTACAAAATCCAAGAGATTCTCGAGGAACGAATCATCAAGAGCAAACCCTTCCAGTTGGTGAAATGGAAAGGGTTTGACAATCCGATTTGGAACACGTGGCTGCCTAAATCTGAAGTGAAAGTAAGTATTCGTTAGTCATTTCAAAAAGGATATAATTGAACTTTAGGACGTAAAAGAAGTCTGGAAACCACGTCAACACGCCAAGAGATCCAAAATTGTGAATCAGACTCCTCAGATGTGGTCTTTGGGAGCTGCGCCGTTTTCTGGCGTCAGCACAGGAGTGTTGGAGTACAGGAGTGGACCATCCTCGCCAGCAACCGTCTCGACTGGACCATCCTCACCAGCATTCCTTCTTTCTGGATTGGCCCGAGGAGTCTCGAATGGACCTTCTCTGTCAGGTTCGCCGGTTTCTGGCTTGAGCGCCGGAGTCTCAAATGGGCCATCTTCGCCGTCTCCTGGGTTGGTAACGACATCCTCAATCGGAACATCTGGGCTATCTCCGCTGTCTTCTGGGTTGCTTACAAGATTATTGAATCCTCCATGTCCATCTAATGTACTGTCTTCCGGTGTGAGTGCAGGAGTCTCAAACGGGTCATTTTCGTCTGCTCTGCCAACTTCGGGCTCGGCCACAGGACTATCGAATGCTCCATCTCTATCAGGCGTGCCAAGACTAAACGTTCTGTTTTCCACTCCTTCTTCTGGAGGATCTCCATCAGCTGCGGGACCTACTGGAACCTGGCAACACCAAACGGCAGCGCCAAACCATGGTACAGCAGCACCAAATGTCCCGTTTGCCACTCCTCCTTCTGGTGGATCTCCATCAGGTCCGAATTCTTCCGGAAGCTCGTCTTCTTCATCTGCAGGGAACACAATGAATTCGAACGGTGAAAGCTCGTCGTTTGGAAGTTCGACTTCAGCTGAATACGTCGACCCAATTCAGTCCTCACAAGGACAACCAAGTGATCAGGGTTTGCCAAGTGATCAGGGTTTGCCTGGAGATCTTCCTCACACCGGAGCCCAACCAATGCCAAGCAGTCAACGAGTTCATCGAGTTGCTCCCTTTGCAGGAGCCCCGCCTGTGCCAAACGGTCAAGAAGTTCATCGAGCTGCTCCTTTTGCCGGAGCCCCGCCTATGCCAAACGGTCAAGAAGTTCATGGAGCTGCTCCTTTTGCCGGAGCCCCGCCTATGCTAAATCGTCAAGGAGTTCATGGAGCTGCTCCTTTCGCCGGAGCCCCGCCTATGCCAAACCGTCAAGGAGTTCATCGAGCTGCTTTTTTTGCAGGAGCCCCACCTATGCCAAACGGTCAAGGAGTTCATGGAGCTGCTCCTTTTGCCGGAGCCCCGCCTATGCCAAACCGTCAAGGAGTTCATGGAGCTGCTCCTTTTGCCGGAGCCCCGCCTATGCCAAACCGTCAAGGAATTCATCGAGCTGCTCCTTTTGCCGGAGCCCCGCCTATGCCAAACCGTCAAGGAGTTCATGGAGCTGCTCCTTTTGCCGGAGCCCCGCCTATGCCAAACCGTCAAGGAGTTCATGGAGCTGCTCCTTTTGCCGGAGCCCCGCCTATGCCAAATGGTCAGGGATTGTTTGGAGGCAATCTTCACGGCGGAGCCCCACAAATTCCAAGTGGTCTGGGATTCTTCGGAGGTTCTCCTTTTGCCGGAGCCCCACCAATGCCAAGCAGTTTAGGATTTTTCGGATTTTCAGGTTTGTTTTAATTGAGGATTTTCAAACATTCAAATAATCTGAACTGCCGACTAGAAAGCATTCCGGTGCATGTACAGCTAAAGTGTTTTGAACAGACCAAACATTGTCAGTACACTAATCTAACTTTTTTCTCCAGGATACTACCCTTCGAATAGACCACAGGAGCCTATTGTTACCTTCCCAGACTCAGATGATGAAGATGAGGAGGAGCCAATGCCAGAAGCGCCAAATGATTATGGTCGAATAATTGTTGAGCTGACTGACGAGCAAGCCGGTAGGTTTTAATGAAAATTAATGATTTTCAAACATTAAAATACTCAGAACTGCCGGTTAGAAAAGCATTCCGGTGCATGTACAGTTAGCAATTTCAATAACTTTAACAAGAATTATCTGATAGCATAAATGTGTTCTAAATAGACCAAAAATTTGTCATTACACTAATCTTCTTTATTGTTCAGAACAGTACCCACCGAGCACACTGAATTATTCAATAGTCACCTTCCCAGATGAGGAAGACGAGGAGGAGACGGAGGAGCTGGATACTTCGAGATGTTCGGATACTGGGCTCGCAGTGGTTCCATGGCCACTCGAGCCGCAAAGACTCATTGGCGATCGAGAGATTCATCGCTCTGGTTAGGTTTTGGGAAAAACTTTGTAAATATCATGTTTATTTGGTTCAAGAAAACCATTATTTTCGAAAAAAATCCATTGGCAACAATGAGAAGTTCCTTCTCTTTAAGGTATATGTTTCAGGATTCCGTCGGTACGTCAATCAAAATCCGAACCCAGCTCCATTTGTACCAAACCTTGGAATCCAGCTTCAGGTGTACCAAATCTTGAACCTTGCCAATCTTCTTCAGAACTTCACTGCGGCTGACCTGTGAGTCACTTTTAGCAGTTCTAAATTCCAAGAGTTTCTATCCTTTTTACAGAGCTCAGCTCATTCCTAATGGGATACCGCAAGTGATTCCGTCGCAGTTCCAAGGACCCCAACAATGATGTAGCCAAGGAAGAACTGAATTTTTATCTGAAATCTGGGATTATTTGTTTTTTTTTTGAAATCTTGTTGATACATTCTTCGCAAAAATATTGTATCTTTATTTTTCCCGCCATCCCCCCCCCCCTTTCTCTCTCTCTCTTATCGTTCCAGCCAAATAATTGATATGCCTGGACCTTTAATATTTTCCCCTATCCTGTATTCTGACTCGATTCTGGTGGCTTGCCCACATATCTCACATTGCCCCGTTCACATGACTTATCCCTCTCTTTCGCTCATCAATTTTCATTGGGGTATATTCCTGCATTTTCTTAATTGTTTTTAATGTTCTAATGGAGTAAAATAGCTCAAAAACCGGTGTTAGGTTCTTCTTCTTTTAGCACAAGGGTCCACGTAATCCCCTTTTTGTACTCTCATAGTTCACAGATAACCCACCCTGCTCATTGGCCATATTGCATGTTGTTCGCGATCACAAATGCATGTCTAAAACCATAATTCCAGAATTTTTTATCTGATTTTGTGGAGATTTAAGATGATTCAAATGATTCGTAAAAAATTAATTAGTGGTTATAAAATTCTGTACGGTCCTTTTCCGGAAGAAAATATTTCAAAAATGGTCATTTTTGAAAGTTTTTTACAGAAAAAATGTATCTCCTCTTTCAGTTTTCGACATTTCTAGGAGTTCTATAGCTCAAAAGAACCGCAATAATTTATTCTTCATTTTGTATGGATGAATTTTTGATTCGTCTAACAGAACTTTTTTATAATCAAAAATCAACGCAAAAATGCGATTATGTGCATATTCGTGAGCTTTTTTGATTATAAAAAAAAGTTTTAACAGACGAATCAAAAATTCATTCATACAAAATGAAGAGTAAATTATTGCGGTTCTTTTGAGCTATAAAACTTCCAGAAATGTCAAAAACTGAAAGAGGAGATACATTTTTTTCTGTTTTTATTGATTGGTCCGTCCTCGTTCTCCAGTTAGTTTTCCCGAATTCCACCACAGTGGCGATGATATCAGAT